GGAGGGGTGCCATTGCGAAGCATTATAATGATAAGGTTGATTCCATTGCCATGGCCATTAAAATGGCCGAAATTTACCGTATATGGTAATATTGATGACTAAAAGTGCTGAGCAAACGCTTAGCGGCCGCCATTATAATGAAGAGGGTACATAATAAACTCGTTTATAATGCGGGCTCATTATAATGCTCCCCAGAAAGTTCCGACATCCCTAAACGATTTTGCCCCTATGAGGGAGCCTCGTCTTCGACACGACAAGTTACAACGCGAGCAACGTTCTAGTAGGATCGATGGAAGAGCTGGAATTCATCATAAATAATACGCTAATACAATGGCAAATTATTTGATGTAGAGCAGTGGACGGATCAACCTTTAGTGCCACTCATGCCTCAAGGGCCCTCAGTGTAAGCACGAGAGAGGTGATTAAGTGTGATCCTACAAGTCCGTCAGCCAAAGATCAACTTGCATGCGTTTCAATTGTGTAATGGTACTCACGTATCACTTCCATCATATGACCCACTATAATAGCTGAAAAGGGGATCCTGTGCCTCCCACAAGCGCGTAGTCTCCCTTCGTGCAGCGGCAAAGCTTCCGGCGCTCATATCATCGGTTGAAGTGTACGAACCCTCAACCCTCTTTGCGTGGTGCCTGAGCACGCTGAGGATTAGATGGGGTCCGAGTATGCAAATTACTATCCCGGAGAGGACCGCGTTGAGGACGTCATATCCAATGCGATGAATGGGTGTCTAAAATCTAGATAATGAGCCCTCTAAGGCACGGAAAGTGTATAACATAAAATGTACCCAGCCGAGTTCTAGTGAGCTGAACGATTCAGATGCATAGGTTGCTGCCGTTCTAAGTGACAATAAGTAAGGCTCAACAATCTGGACTTTGCCTTGGCTGCTTACACGACAAAGTAGAGGACATTGTCCCTTACGAGAAGGACCACAATATTACGCGTGGACCATGCTCCTCGCTGTCCTCTCGATTGCCTGAGATGTACAGCAAAAAAGAAGATTGATATAGCAAGCATTAGCACCTCGAAGATTAGTAATGATATGTACTGCCCGTCGAGGAGCGGTAGAATGAATACATCGTATTGAGCTGCGCAAACACCAGGGAAACCATCTGGCGTATTATCCACCTCTGTGATTGTGAAGGGCGATGACTATGATGAGGGTGTGTGGGCGTTGGACGCTAGGGTACTTACCTGTGTCTCCGATGACAATCGCGTTTCGTATCGTATTGGCGAAAACTATCCCTTGCACAATGACAAACCCAAATAGCAGTGTGGAGAGTAGCTTTCTGGAGCGCCCGCTCATAGCATAGAGCCTCAGTATCATAACAACTACCAGGGTATATGTCACAATGCCAAAATGATGCAGGGTTAGAGAACATACTCTGGAGGGTAAAGAACCCCAATGCTTCACTGACGGGGACTATCCATAGAAAAGCCACGCCTAAGTTTGCATTAGTGTCAGTCGTCCTAACACGTAAAAGGCGCCTACATCTAGGGAGTCCCAAAACGACGATGTCGGACATCAATATCAGCGAATATTAGAAAATTTATTCGACGTACGTCTGTCCATGAATTGTATGAAAAATGTATGAAAAATCAATCATGAATTGAAGGGGGACGGCTTACCAAGTCCGGTACGTGTCTTGGGGCGTAGTAAACTTCTGAAGCTAAGTCTCTGATGGAGAGGCGGATACTGCGATGACTCACAAACATTCGTACTACGTAGAAATTTAAAATGGGAGTAGCGAGAAAGATGCAGTACCCACATGCCATAAATTATTCCTAACATACGAAGCTAGGGAAGCAATATTCGTCACGTATACGGCGACAAACTATGTAGCTGCTGCTTACCGCCAAATACATGAATTTGACCAATGTCCACTTTCGCTTCTGTAAGGGGGACAAGGCGCGAATACTCAACGATTTTATAGTACAATTGTGTACCGAAGCTTACCCAGACCAGGTCTATCTGAATTAGTCGCGTGTGAGCTCGATCGTGCAAATGCAACAAATAACATAACGTCCTACCTCTTGTTCGAGTAGGAGCACTTTATGCGGCGTCAGGTAGTGTCGCGTTCTCGAAGAGGATCTTCAGACACTCACACTCATCATATATCACCAAAGTTCCGATGGCCGCTAGTACAGAATTGTGATCAGCCCATTGACATTACGAAGGAGCGATCAAACTACCGTATGCATAGCCCTCAGATGTAATGTCCCATATGAAGTTGCACCAGTACCATGTGTCCTCATGGCAAATCGACGTCATGCGATAGCTTCAGACGATAAGTTCTTAGATCCGAGAAATAAATGTGAGCACGTAGATGCGACAGTGTGGGGAGCGTTCAAGACCTCAACCTTCCGAGACCCATCGGACATATATAAACGTTCGGACCGTCATCTGTGAGGCCGATATCACGTCACATACCCTCAGTAAAGAAAGAAAGGCGCGTGTTCTCGAATAGCTCACCAAAACAGTGTTGCCAAGAGTACGCCGGAGACTTGCTCCACCTACTGAAACGCGAAGCGAGCGAGGTTCTAACAATAGAAAGCGCATCACTCCACTCAGCGAGCGAGGTGCGAGCAAGGTGCACGTTTTAAGTCCGCTGCGCCCTCTTTGATGCGAGCTCCACCTCCGAGAAGGGATGATCAAAAGAGCGTGCCGCATTCCGCGCTTCTCGACGCAGCGTTTTTAGCCTCACTGTATAGCCTGATAAATCGAACGCGCTCGCATAAACGGCTAAATCTGGTCCTATCATTTTCATCTTGCATTATTCTCTGCACACCCTTGACTATTCACAGCTCGAAATTTTGCACCTTCGTAGCACGGTAGCGCAGCGTCCGCACGGTAAGTCTGGGATATTAAGATAGCAAAAAGTGCCTATATTGACACCAACACACCACATTTTCATGCCAAAACAAGCTATTTGAGCCTCGCGAAGTCAGGTGTACCAAGCCCTGTGACTGCAAAACATGTCAAGCAGTAGTCAGAGCGTCAAATCGCGTGGTAATCTTACGTGGATCCCACCCTCTCGTAGCCTGAAGTGGTTTCAAGCCGTGAGCTCTCTGTTTAGTATCAGTTTTACAAGTGAGCGCGCACTTACATTAAAAGTGTCCCTGCGCCAGGGTTATTTCCCTCGGTGATATCGTTCAGTGCGGCATAGCCTGAGGAGTATAACCACGGATTTAAGAATCCGAGGGTACCCTTCCCGGCACTCAATCGCACATCGTTAAGGAGTGCAATGATTGCAGCGAATGTGGGCGTGGAAGCGGAGGTGCCTGTCTCGTTCTTCGTGCCACCGTAGTAATCGATCGGGAAGTTGACGCCTTGCGCTGATACGTCCGGATATCCCTAGGTAGGTTCGAAAACGTTAGTCTGAATATCATGGCATCATAATGAATCGCATACACGTCCGCTCCTGCGTGAAATGCGTGAGTCAACGACTACGTGGCCTCGGAGATTATACTCACGAGTTGTAGAGGCCGGAATACTGATCCCCAAGGTATGTCAGATAGTCGCTGACCGACTTGTCTTGGTATGAAGGGCGAGGGAACTAAGTGCATGATGAGACGTTCCTACCGAATTAAGCCAGATGATGAAAACACTTACATAACTGCTGAATCCACCACCGCTGAAGCTTTCATTTTTGTAATTCCCTGCAACTTCATGAGTACCGGACGTCATCCCGACAGACGTGACACTATATTGCGCTGGAGTTAGTCGTGAAACCGCACGTAAGGTTTGGAGACCTACTATGGGCAGCTAGCGGGGAAATGCACCGTGAATGTCTCAGGGTCTTGCGAATCATACCCTACTCCGTAGTCTCCTGATGAATATAAAATAGACACGCCCCGTGCGCCTAAGCAGAGAACATGAAGTCAGAGCATACGTGTTATAGCGGCGAGCTCACCTAGAGCAGCGAAGCCCTGGCATATCGTGTTCGCCTGTGCCGGAGTAACTGCACCCGGCATCAGCAGGGCACGCTGATACTAGGTTTTCACAAACATGAAGTTTCATCTTCTCCGTAGCTCGTTGAGATAACCGGGGGCAGGTCTGTTTGGTTCAGCAGGAAATCGACGAACTGGGGACAATGAATTAGTTCAATTCATAGTCGCACTAACACTACATCGGATGCTTACATCTAATGTCCCTGTTGCGAAAGTCCAGTTCATATCGGGAGGTGAGTCTGGATACCCGCCGATGGTGAAGAAGGTCGCCGGGATAGGCCGCGTCAGACCAAATGCGTATTGCACGTCCAGACTAGCTTCAGTACCGAGTTTTGTCTAGTTGTTCACGCCACCTAGCACGAGGAGTAAGGAAACTAGGATGTGGAATTCGACAATATCACGTACTTGTGACCGAAGTAACAGAGAAGTTGGACCCAGCAGCAGATGACGCATATGCCTCCAAGAATGTCTCGTAGTCCGTGTATGATGCCCACTCGTCTTCAAAAGCCGAGACCGCTATCCCGTTGCCTATGGTCGAAGATGATGTGTAGTTACCGATATTGTAAAGCTGACGAAGGCAATCGGGAGTGATCTGGGTGTTGCAGGAGGGATCCACAGCGCTGTCCCCGCGCGTACGGACCGACGGAATGGGTGGGTTTACTGGGGCACTGTTACCGGCGGTGTATCTCAATGTTTTAGCAGAAGCAAGCATAACAAGAGGATGGACGAGGTCGATGTGGTCATGAAGGACTTCCGGGAGACTGTAATGCGTCGTCTGCACGAGTGCATTCCCAGATTCAGCATGCTTGTAGACGTGGAAGCTCTACGCGTATTTCAGTGACATCGCCATTCAGAAGGCGAATCATGCTTACCGTGTTGAACATGGATTCAGCGGTGCCCACAGGAACTCGAAGGGTCATCGAGTCTCTTGCGGATGAGTATTTGGCGTTCGTCTCATCAAGTCCATGAAATGCGAGCCATTCCGATGCTGTGTGTTGCGTCTCCGGATGAGGTGCCATGAGCTCGTGCACTTCGTCCTTGGACAGATGCATGCCGTATCGCGTGTGGGACGAATCGCTAATCTCCATCAGGTGTTGCTCGAGCTCACCAAAGCCTTGACGGGAAAGTGCGAACTGGAGAGTAAGGGTGGGCCTTTGAATGCAAGATCCATACTTTTGATGGAGCCGAGATACTCTATTTGAGCTTTGGAGAGCATCCTCTGAAGTCAAGATTGGTAGCACTGGTGAGAGCAGCGACAACGAGACCAAGGAGCAAAGAGGTCTTCATCATATTTGGGGATCAATGTCTTGAGCGGGAGAAAGGATATGGGCCGGCAAGCAAGGCAGCCACTCCCTTCTTTTGACTTCACAGGAAGACCTAATTAAGGCGGCGTGATTGGCCCGTCTTCCAAGGTATCGGATCTTAAGCCTCAGCTGATATCACCAGCCACTGCCTTCAACAGCATCGCGCTATTGCGACGTGATTGTTTTGACCTGCCAAGAGTAGCTGGCGTTTAATTTCATAACACAGGGAAGGATCCAAAGTTCCTCTTGCTGTAGACATTTAGTCATGGATGGCGACTGGCGGAAGGCCACAAGACTGGGCAGTGGGCAATGTTTGAAGTTTAAGCTTTCAAGGTCGTTGGATGAATGAAGGCGATGGTTGGACTTCACGAGCATGGCAACCTTGAAGCGCCAATAACGCGGGCTTTTCCGAGTCCCGACCCGGATGTATGCTTCCCAGCAATTGCCCCGCAGCAATATTTTCTTTGGCTTCAACACACGACACATGCTACACCTATGTCTGATATTGAGACAATCGGTCGATAAGATCACATTCCGCATTGATTTGAGGTCGCTAAGTATGCTTTCATGATCCTGCAATCTACTCCACAGGCGAAGTCGCGTTCTCGACTCGTTTTATTTTATATAGCTATTGCAACAATCGATCGCAAGGCTACTCAGCAGAACGTCACCCACTGGCAGGAGCAGTCGCTGGGCTATATTATGTCTCACACAAAAACCAAGCGACACTACGCCGTTATCCGATTTAAAAAGAGTGACTCGGATCTCGTCCATTTCACCTTCTCCCATAAAAGCTTATACTCGAGATACAAGCTTCATTGGCGTATACTATCAGCAAGCCACTTGTAATGCCTCATTGTTCAACTATCGACACATGACTCTGGAAATAACTACATGAGCCAAAAGGTACATTAATGGCATTATACATGACCACTTCATACTGCGTACGAGTCAATCCCTGAGAACCCTTTAATATCCTTGACCACGCACTCCACCTTCGAAAAGTATGGTTCGGGCAAGTAAATCCCCTTCCCTGTCAGCTTATCCAACACTGTTCCCACCAATGAACGTTGCTCGAGAGCATCCGCAATGCATTCGCCCAGACGTTTTGGATTCCGGGGATTTCCGCCACCCTTCAAGGACATTTCACGAAGCTGGGAGACATGAAGAGCTCCCGAACGAGGGTTGAGCGTCTCGAACATTTGGCGGAGTATTGTGCTAGTGAGAGTCGCACGGAGACACTGCATGCGGGGAAGGGCAATGAAGATGTCGCACCATGGAATGTCCCCAAGATAGTCCTGAGTTACGATAAGTTCAGCTGTATGGATGGAGAAGAGGGGCGAGTTATAGCAAAGGGACCGAAATGGGCTGATGGGAATGGTCTCGCCCCCCTCGTACGCGATTTTGTGGTCCAGGAATACGCGGCACTTATCCCAGATACTATCGCCATGGTTGCACTTGTATTCGTGGTCGAGACTCCCGTCGTGAATAGAGCACTCGAAGCTGATTTTGTCGAGTTTGATTTGGAGGGTATTGCAAGATATCCCTTGCTCAGCGCGGTGAATGGAGAGGAAATCAGGGGAAATCGGGGGGAAATCGGGTGGTGTAAACTCTGTGTCCTCGACGGCAAGTAATGAGGAAATTGACAGATGGGCGTATGGGGGGATGCGAACGCGTGAAAAGAAGTTGACGTATGATAGGAAGGCTTCATCCATTCTTATATATTTGATTCTTGGGAGGTCCAAGAGTTTTGGTGTGTCCCACGCTGCCGGCTGTGCGTCTAGTTGGCCAAAGCACCAATCGACTGTTAGTACCTCAAGGGAAGTGGCGCTTTGAAGAGTAATCCACAACTCTTCTGGAGTAGGGGATAGGTCGTCCAATAGACAGGCAAGGTGAAGTTGTGTCAATCTTCCATATATAGGAGAATCCCAAGGGAATGCACATGATGTGAGGGTTAAAACGTCTAATCGAGGCATGCTATCTGGTAAGGGTTGCGAAAGAGGAACAAGGACCGGTGGCTCTGCGACAAGAGTAAGTTCTTGAAGAATAGGAGTAGATGATGAAAGATATTCCGCAAGAGTCCTAGCATAAGATGGGGGGAAATCGACAGACAGCTCGCATATCTGATGAAGCCGCGAGAAAACGGTTTTCAAAAGCTCCAAATCGTTCGTAAGCTCCAAATCGTCAGCACATCCCAAATCGCGAGAGTGATCTGTGGGTGCGACGAATACCTCCAAAATGATTGGGGATTCCCGCGCTCTTTCCAGCATAGCCAAGACGAGTTGCTTCGACAGGACTCCCACATCGACTGAAGACCAGAGACGTGGAAAATCCAAGGCTATCTCCCGCCAGCGTCTACACACATGAGTGAGATCGAGGAGCTGACGTGAGCGGATGCGGACAAAGTCGGAGAGTGGAACACAGAACGTGAAGATTTCGGAGAGAACTTCAGCTGGGAAGGAGCAGAGGGGCGACAGCATGTTCCGACGAGTGTAGAGCTTTCGTATGACCTCGACGTGAGTAGCGATCTCGATATCGATCTGAGAGTAACGAAGCTGTCGCTCTTGATGGTTCACTATGCAGTTAGCCATGATATCTTTTTCTAGGTTAGAAAGCAAAAATACGCGTCGAGGGCATTGGCTCACTGTCGCTTTGCTTGGAGTCTCGAGATGACATGGACAGACAGTGGCAATTGCCAACAGTTGCCAACGCGCAAGCGTGGTGACAATTGAGCGACCCGCTTTGTGACAAGCGTTACGAAGCAATGATCACGGAGTGACACATGTCACACACATACTTTCGTCCAACTTTCGTCTCCTTTCATCTGACTTGCACTTCATCTATATATGCAATGCCTTTACAGGCGTGGGCACCACTGTTTCGATACCCTGATCTATGGAGCCGCACGTTTCTATCTGGGTCCGAGTACGTTCCCATCTGGTGCACGAACATGCAATTCGCCTCGCGAGCTGGCCTTGAATGGACTCTCACCACGGGCAAACTGCTATTTTTTGCTGGAGAAAAAAGAGAGAAAATGCGTGGAGGTGAAAACCCCCTTCCCCGAGTTTTCACCGCGAGAAAAGTCAAAGGAAAGATAACCATTGCACCCGATAGAACGCCTTTTCCAGGCGAGAAAAGGTTAACAATTCCCCAGAGTCGGCAAAATTACCAAATTAGGCATCCATAATTGGACACTTATCCTTTTCTCACCCAGAAAAGGCGCTCTCTCGGGTTCAATCACAGGTTCTGGCTGAGTATTCAATAAAAAGTGGTATACTCTCCCAGTCATCGTTCAAATATTGGCTTGACTGAGTATTATCGCCAGCTCGAAACGTGCCAGTCGGCTCTTCAGAGTCCCCTACTAGCATGCCCCGGGGGGCTTCGTGTCCCTACGGTCACTTGCACATGTGGCCGAGAGCTATGGTTGGGATACTTTCATGCGTGAATTCTTCCTGGTGTTCGTGCTATGCTCCTCAGTTCCCGTCTCCGACGATCATTTGCTATTCTCTCAACCGCCATCAGTAATGCATTATGGCTTACTCGACTGTGTAACTGTCCTAAAGGCTAGGCGTATGGGTGTTGTCCCCCAACTTGAGGCGCCTCCGCGTGGATTTCGATAACCTTCCGAGGACGACGATACTAAACAGAATCCTTGTGCCATCCTTGGTGTCCTTCCTCGTTCCTACTGTTGTTGATATCATTTTCGAGGGCACAGAATCTCACAGAGCAATCAAGCTCATTCATAGATGATGCCAATCTCTTCGAACACTTCATCTTCGTTCAAGTGGTACTTTATCACTCGCCCTCGGCGACGATCACCCAGGTGTCGAGTTCCAGGAAGCCTTTTCGGAGCTGAGAGTACTCGATTCCCTCACTATGCACGCCCCGAGCACAGCCAGCTACTTGCGAATCGCAGCGGTAGACAGGGGGCTCGGGTCCTAACATAACTACACCACTCCGCGTTTCCTTCCCTCGACGGCGTCAGCGAGCCTGCATGGACGTCGCCAGGATTCTGCCGGTTCTTTGACGATGCAACATGCAACTTTAGCTCTGGATCAGAAATCGGGCCGTGGCCGACCTCGTTGCCCTCCGCTCGCGATGCTCTGCCCAGCTTCGTTGGCACCGCTATGCAGACGCCGTCTCCAGAGTAACTCCGTTTACATCGTCGTTGGCGCCTATCTCACTCGAAATACACTTGCTATGGATGAGAGCTGCTCGTCTCATGTGTGAGCCGACCCTCCTGGGAGCACTCCCGGGTCGACAGTGGCACGTACACAGTCGCGCCGTGCCTTGGGGCGCTGGTCCGCGATGTCTGAATTTCTCGATGCACCGTTCGGACGCGGGTTAATGCAAGATACGCTGGAAGAAAGCGTGTCCCGACCCTGTTATCGATTTATCACCCGATAGTCGCCCGTCCGGCGATGCCATCGCTGCGCTGTTCGCGCGCGTTGCCAGGCAAGCAATGTTGCTGCTCCATCCGATGAAAGACGTTTCCTGCTCCATAACTCAAGTGCTTACTATCAAGCGCCGTGTATACATCGAGTGCACGTTCATCGCTCCGCTCCTCTCCGGGACTTTGACCTCTGCAAATATTAATAGCGTACACGAGCTCAGGAACAGCAGCAGACCACACCGGGCCGCGGGGCATTCATCTCTCAATAGCGCCTATTTTTGGCACCTCATTTGGTATGCCTCGAAGGCGAAAGGTTAACGCGGCCACGATACAGTACATGGAATCAATGGAGAGCGAGAGATTAGTGTACCGATGGAGCGGGTTGGGTGTGGGAGGCCCAGGCCTGCGAGATGTGCTCGGGAGATTGCCGGTGGGACATGCTGCTTCTATGTATCCTTCCGAGTGCGCGTGTGCGTGTGGTGAGGAAGGACGGGTACGAGGGGACGGCGTATCTGCGGTCTTCATTGTATGAGAGGACTCGAGGTGTGGTGCTGTGCGTTGTCGGTGTGATTGCGAGATGCGCGTGCGTTGGTGGGCGCGTTATCGTATCGTGCTGGATTGTATTGTGTTGTATCGTGGCTTTCAGTATTATGAAGCGAAAAGAGGGTACGCGGTGGCGCAGGGACAGCAGGGTATCGTGTGTTCGAGTGTCGGCACGGGGCCACGAATCGCGCAGCAGCAGTTTTGCATGGCTCCGCTACGGAGCTTACGGCCAGCGATTGAGTTTAGATAGCGCAAAGTTGAGTTGAGTTGTGCCAGTCATCTGCACCAGCTCGTAGAGCGGAACGTGGGGCGATAGAGGGCACGGAGCGGGTATGTAGTGCAAGGTAGGTAGGAGAGTGGCGTTTTGAGGGTGTACTTACATGATAGTGTACCGTACCGGTGATATCGAGGCGCTCGTCCGAAGTGGCTGGTCCGACGAGTGCAAAGCGGGCTGCTTACTAACTTGGACGACGCATCTTAGCCACAATCAGACCGCAGCAGCGCATCGAGCATCGCGACTAGCAAAACGGGAGGGTGTATGTCACCATCGCAGGCGCGGGACAGACAGTCGTGGCTGTCGCGGAAGTGGTCGAGTGTCACGGGTGCGGGCGGGGGTGAAATACGAAGGGCACGAGGGGGCGCTTGTAGCGGAAGGCTGGCTTCTAAAAGCTTCGTGCCTTGGGAGTGTTTCCGCGCTTATCGACACCTGTAGAAGGTGTGGCTGCGGGCAGGCACGTTCGATGGTGATGTGGTGCAGAGGGGTGTTTGCGAGTAATACTGGCGGGCGTTGGCGAATCAAACGAGGAGCGGGGGGCGCGTCGGGCTTAGGGGCTAGGAAGATTACAGGGAGCGGGATTGTTGTTCTAGGCCTTGGGTCGGGCCTGGAGTCTGGAGAACATTTTGTGATAAGAAAGTGTCGATCAAGTCTGGACCACGGAGGCGGAGGCAAGGCAACGGGTCACGGAACCTTCCCTCGATGCCTCCGCCCAACACCGTCGCGTCCTCCTCCTCGTCCCGCCTCCACCAACCCCATGGCATGGCTGGCTTGCCGCCATCGATAAGGACGAGATTGTGCTGGGACGATCGCTTCATTTGGATTGTCGGAGTTTTAGTTTTAGTTTTGGATGGAGAATGAAGGTGTTTATATGTATTTGCCGCGAGGAAAGGGGGGGTGTCGGCGGGACGGGTGGAGTTGTGTTGAAGAGGCGCGGAGACCACGCGGCTGATAGCCCTCCAATTTCGGGAAAAAAACAGGTCCCTCCACCACCTCCCCTTGTCTTTTCCAACTCTCATCTGCTGGCCCTGTTCAGGACGAGGACGGCTTGCAAACAACCAAAGGCCTGACGAGCACACTCACCCACCCTTCATCTAACCGGTTTGCCCACCCTTCGTGCCGGTCGACCGACGACACCTACACAGAACAAGCGCCGAATCTCTCGACGCCCTCACGCCCTCCCTACATACAAGGCTAGACGCACCTCGACCGTCCAACACCACCACCTAGCCCCCTGCCCCACCTCCCCACCTCCCAGCCCCAGCCTACTCCATCCACACAATCTGCCTCGGCCGCCAGACACCTTCCAAAACAGGTCCACTTCTCATCGAGATAGACCCATGGACCCGCCATACTCGGCCAGCAGCGGCGGCAGCGGCAGCAGCAGTGCCCGCCACCACCTCTTCAACTCCCACCAGCTCCCGCCACCCTCCCAGCTCCTCCCCTCCGCCCGATCAGGCCCCGGCGGAGCGAACAACAACATCACCCTGCCCCCGCTGCAGGGCTCCCCCGGGCAGCGTGTGTACGCGAGCCCGTACCTCAACCGCCTGCCCTCGCCGCTGAGCAGCACCAGCGCCTCGAGCGCGGCGTGGCCCGGGCACCGGCGGGACTCGGACGGATATCACCACTCGTCGAGCTACAGTGCGCACGGACACCCGTCGCCGCACCAGCAGCACCACTCGCCGCACTCGTCGAGCTACTCGTCGCACCGGCCGTCGCTGTCGCATTCGTCGTATTCGCAGCACGAGGGCCACTCGGACAGGCGTTCTTCGCAGCAGCAGCATGCGCCTCCGCCGCCGCCGCCTCCCCAGCAGCAGCAGCAGCAGTCGCAGCATTTGAAGCGCGAGCCGAGTATGAGCAGTATACGTCAGTCGCAAGCGACGGCGCCTACCACCCCGACACAGCAGCAGTCGCAGCAGCAGCAGGCGGCAAGAGGGGAAGGCGGGGACGATGGGATGCCCGCGACGAGCGATTTCGTGAAGAAGTTGTACAAGTGCGTTTACTTATTCTATTCGAGACTCGTCTATACTCATGGTGATGAACAGGATGCTCGAAGACCAGGCCTACGCAGAGGTTGTCTCGTGGGGGCCGAACGGGGACTGCTTCGTCGTCAAGGTGCGCATTCAATGTTCCATGTTGTTCAAAGACGGTGATGCGAGTGTGGGGTAGGACATGAACGAGTTCACAAAGTCGATTCTGCCGCGCATGTTCAAGCACTCGAATTTCGCGTCGTTCGTGCGGCAGCTGAACAAGTACGATTTCCACAAGGTTCGTTTGCCTTTCTTTTCCTCTGGTCTTTTCTCGTTCGCGTTGGGATGTCCTGTTTTCCCGAGAGAGGGCGGGAGAGCGCTCAGATTGACATCCCCGTGATCTCGGTGCGCCCCCCTCCCCCCGTTTCTGGGTCGCGCTTTCCCAAATGGGCTGTCGGCCCGAACGTCGTGCGCGATTGCATCCCGATGTGATGCCAGACGCTATGCGTTGGGTTTCTCATTCCTCCCTCCTTTCCTTGGATTGCCCTCGTTCTCGTTCCGCTGTTGTGTGGAAGGCGAGGGGTGCACGTTCATGGGCGCGCACGTGGATGAGCCGCCGGCTGGGCTTGGGGTTCTGTTGGTGGTGCGGATCATGCGCTGTGCGGGGCGCGATCGAGAGAGAGGGGGTTTCTTCGGGTGATGCCGATGATTGGCGGACCCTGGAGCCGAGGCTTGATCGGTTCTTCGATCGCTGTCGTTTTGATGTAGGGGTACTGACTGACATTATTATGGACATAGGTGAAGAACACGGATGACAACCAGTTTGGCGAGCATGTACGTTACATTCCCATGTTCCTCTCCCTCTTTTATAACTTGTAACGTGCACAGAGCTGGACATTCAAACACCCCGACTTCCACGCCGACCGGCGCGACGCGCTCGAGAACATCAAGCGCAAGGTCCCCACTGCGCGCAAACCCGCGCCCGCGCAGACTACACCCACGTCCTCGCATGGCCCTACCTCCGCTCCCATCGCCGCGCTCGGCGGGGCGTACGCCAACGGGCGCTCGTCGTCGCCCGAGGTCGAGGCCCTTCAGGCGCAGGTGGACGCCCTTCGCGGGGCAGTGGACACGCTCGGCGCGCGCAATGAGGGTATGCGCATCCGCATGGAGGGGCTTATTGGTGAGGTCGACCGGTTGCGCTCGCGGGGTGGGAGCGATGGCGGTGGCGGTGGCGGAGGCGGAGGCGGAGGGAGCGTAGATCAGGAGGCGCGGGTAGCGGTTCTGGAGGGCAAGTATGGCGATATGCTTTTGGAGATTGTGAATTTCCAGCGGAGCCTTGCGGCGCAGGACTCGTTGATGCAGAACCTGATTCAGTATTTCCTGATGCAGGAGAGTGGTGCGTTTTATTATGTTATTCGTTGCGCGCATGCTGACTGGCGGCGGTCTAGTAGCAAAGGGAAAGGGCGACGCGTCTGCTGGCTTGGACCCGACGCGAGGACAGAGTCGGACACCGAGTCTGGCGAGCATCGCGCAGCAGCAGCAGCAGCACTCGCAGTCGCACCAGGCTCTTACGCCAACCCTTGCCGCGGCAGCAGCAGCTGCCGCCGCCGCTGCCAACGCATCCGGCCATTCTCATGCGCAGAGCGGCGCCCAGTCTTATGCGTCGCATGCTCAGCGTAGTCAACAGCATCAGCACCAGGCGCAGCAGCAGCAGCAACAACAACAATACGCGCAACAACAGCAGCAGCAGCAGCCACAAAGCCAGCCTCGCGGCGGCCCGGGCCATACGGGGCCAGGCCCAGGCGCGATGCAGCAGACGCACCCGTTCTTGCCCGCGCAGGAGACGCAGCGGATTATGATGCGCAACGAGGACCAGGAGCAGATTGCGCAGGCGAGTTTGCTGGGTATGAATGAGCTGTCGAGGCGGGCGGAGAATGCGGGGATGACGTTTTCGATTGGGCCGCAGGGGATTGCGGTGGGTGCGCAGGGGCAGGATGGGGAGATGGGCGAGGAGGATGAGGGGATGGGGGCGCAGGCGCAGGCGCAGGGAGGGGGGCAAGCGCAGGGAGAGGGACAGGGACAGGGACAGGGAGGACAAGGGCAAGGGCAGGGAGAGCAGGCGCAGGCGCAGGGGATGATGATGCAGCATGATACGGTTGCGCATATTGGCGATTTGCGGCTGCAGACTGCGCGGCCTGTCAATGGGGACGGGGCGAGTGGTGCAGAGCCGGCGTTTTCATCGGGCGATGTGCCGTTCATCCTCCCGCCTGACATCGCGTGGAACCTCCCTGGGTCGATGATGCACAACGGTTCGGCGTCCGCGCACGCTGCGGCGGCGGCGGCGGCACAGGCGGCTGCGGCTGCGGCCGGCGAAGGGCTGAAGATGGAGCCGGGCCATGAAGGGCTGCAGGTGTTCACGCTGGGCCATCTGATGCCGCGCGGTGCGGCAGGCGGCGACGAGAACGGGAACTGGACGTTCGATCCGAGCGTGCTGCAGAGCAGCGGTATGGCCGCTGCCGTGCAGGCTGCGTACGGGAGCGGGAGCGGTGTCGAGGGCGAGGACGGCGCGGACGGCGGGGAGGAGGACGGGGATGAGGACGGGAAGGAGGGGAGTCCGGGGCCGGAGGAGGTTGTTAGGCCGACGATGTCGAATCCGGGTGCGGCTGCTGATGCTGCGGCTGCTGCGTCGTCGTCGGCTGGTGCGGGTGGGTCGGGCTCGGGGGCAGCGGGCGGGGCGGGCGGGAAGAGGCCGAGGCTGCGCGTGAGGCGGTCGACGTTTGTGCCTGGGTGGGCGGTGCCGCCGCGGGTGCTGCTCGTGGACGACGATGCGGTGAGCCGCCGGCTGAGCAGCAAGTTTTTGCAGGTGTTTGGGTGCACGATTGATGTTGCGGTGGATGGGGTGGGTGCGGTGAATAAGATGAATTTGGAGAAGTATGATTTGGTGTTGATGGTACGTTGTTCCTCCTCCTCTCCCTCCTTGTTGTGGGGATTGTGCTCATGCGGGATTTGTTTTTGTTTTTGTTAGGACATTGTGATGCCAAAGTTGGACGGTGTTTCTGCGACGTCGATGATTCGGCAGTTTGATCATATGACGCCTATCATCTCGATGACGAGCAATTCGAAGCCGAGCGAGATTATGAAGTACTATTCACATGGTGAGTGGCGGTCTCGTTCTTTCCAGGATATTGCTGGGCGTGGGCTACGGCCAGGAACGCGCTCATTCCCGCGTGTCATTGTTGGCGGTCCGCATGCTCTCTCCTCTTTTTCTCTTACTCGTATCGAAAGTTTCTGTGAACTCACAAAATGTACTCCTCCAGGTATGAACGACATCCTTCCAAAACCGTTCACGAAAGAGGGTCTATTGGATATGCTCGAGGTATGCGCAACTGTTGACTCACAAAGGAATATCACACTGAACCACAAATTTCCGTGTCCAGAAACACTTGATGCACCTCAAGGTCATCCAAGAGATGGCTCGTGTCCCTCGCTCCGTTGGCGTTCCTCCGCTCTCCGACTCTTCATTCAACGACGCCCTCGCGGCCGGCGCAGCCGCGCTCACACAGCAAAATCCACAGCAACACAGCGGCATGGTCAACGGTGGCATGCAGCCTTTCCCCGCGTTTGGCGAAGAGGACGGGCGGATCAACCCGCTCGCGGGCATGGGCCTCTCGGACGAGCAGTATCAGGCCATCCTGCGCGAGATGGTCGCCGCGGAGACCTTCTCAGGCGTCTCTATGCCGGAGGGCTTCCTCAACCTTACGGGCATGAACGGCGGTATGAGCACGAGCATGGGCGGCGGTGGCGAGAAGCGCGGGCTCGAGGACGACGGGGACAATATGCGCGGAGGCAAGCGGGGGCGGTTTGAGATCATCGAGTGAGCGGATCAGGTGCCTCTTTCTCCCCCTCTTTCGACCTTGGGTAACACATATACACGCGGGAGGATAACTCGGACCCTTGTTCTATCTGCTTTTCCTCACGTTCATCGTCCGCTGGTTCATTATGGGCATGTCCGCATCCTTGTATGTTCATCACGCGCTCCCCACTGCTTTCGTATGTTGTCATCTCTTGCTTGCGATCCGATGTACGAGTGCATTCACGCTCCGCTTACCACTCACTGTCCCCCGTACCCTACTCACCGTTTTCCTACAACCGCGTATCCTCCCACACACCCACTCCGTTATTCGGGTCCTCAAATCTTCCTCCCTCTCTCCATAACCGTCTCCCTTCCATTTTAATTCTGCTGATCCCATTCAATGCTTGCTCGTTCCTGTTCCACGCACTTACATATTTACATTCATCGTCTCGGCTCTCACACACGCATCTCGGCCACATGTCTGTATCGTATCGTATCACGATCAAGTTATCACTTATCCATTTATCTGCTTATCCGCTTATCCGCTTAGCCAATCTTAGCTACTACTTTGCTCGTTTCCGAGATGTATCTCTACAGACTTCAATCTCCTATTTGTTTGTCTTATGTTGCTTAAAGTCTTGGTTTTGCACAAATTCTGATATATATGCAATGTCAGAGGAGCTTTGCGATGTACAAGGACAAGTCGAGTAATGGACGAGAGTGAAAAACAATAATAAGATACAGGAACATGAGAGACAGCGAGAAATTTACACAAAAAAGATAAAACAACAGGCTTAAAAGTCGCGATAACATTATGACTGTGCATCGTAAAGCTTGGAGTATTCCCCGTCAAGATTTATGAGCTCATCGTGGGTTCCACGTTCAACGACAGTACCTTCTCGCATACATCTGACGGGCGAGGGTCAGCGAACGGGAGATATCAGGCGAGGGGAGTACGAGGACAGACATAATCTGATCGGCTTCGCGGGCGAGATGGTGAAAGCGATGCGTGACGAAGATCATCGTTCTCCCATTTCGTGAGGCTCTGAACTCCGCTAGAAGGTCGCGCTCTGCGACAGGGTCCAGGGAGGAAGTGGCTTCATCTACGACCACGAGGCGTGTGTCGTCTGTCATGCGCATGAATGTACGGGCGCTGTGTATAGGCAGAGAAGATAGACATCAGGATGGCTCCTCGAGGTAGGAACGGAGATGGATAGAGAACACCTACGCTGCTAGTCGCTGCTTTTGGCCGCCTGACGAACAGGGAGTCATGGGTGAGCTATTAGGTGTAATGAAAAAAAGGATGCAAGCTCACCGGAGATGTCTACCCTCCTGCCTCGTCGGGTTTGCAGTTCCTGACGGAGTCTCTCAGAGACGATGCCATAAGTTCCATCGCAGAAGTCATTCTCGAACGAGAAGGTGGGCGCAAGCTGCGTGTCATATCCGTTCGGAAGCTTCGTAACGAAGTCAGTGCACCCTCCTTTCCTACAAGCGCCATCCAAAGGGGCGCTACCCTTGCCTGGTCTGTGGGCGTGCGGAAGGCCGATGCAGATGTTGTCTCGGACCGTCCCAGGATAGATGACCGGAGACTGGGAAAGGAAGACCATGGTGCGTCGGAGTTGTTCGACGTTGTATGTGTCTACGGCGTTACCATCGATCAGGATCTCGCCCATAGTTGGGTCGAACAGCCGCGCGAGGAGCTTGAGCATCGAGGACTTGCCGCTCCCATTAGCGCCGACGACGAGGACAAGCTGCCCAGCGGAAACATCAAACGAGACGCGATCTAGCGCGGGAGAGATGCTGCCCGGATATTCAAGGCATACATTTCTGTCTCTTCTTTAATACAACTAAAATGAAAAGAATGTTCTCGACCAACATACCGGAACGAGATGCTCATCCCACTTTTTTTAGACTTGTCGGTAGGATAGGGCATGTGACCGTTGATCGTCGTACTCTCGTATGAGATGCCATCGTAGAGCCACTTGGCTTGTGCGAACAGCTCCGATAGCGAGGATGGGTCCATTCCATATTCGCCTATACTTATAGCCAGGGTGTTGGTCGCTTGTTGAAGCAAGGCCATCGATGTGACTGATGACGCAGACATGCGTGACGGTAGAGTGAGGGCATAAACAGCCTAAACAAAATTCAAGGGGCAAGCACGGTTTGATAATTAGTGTTTGATGCGATCAATGCTCCGTTGTCGACGTACCAAGGGGAGATCAAGTGTGAGATTGATAAGAAAGTCCCAGTACCAGCTTCGCAGAAGTCCGCCGACCCACGGATAAGGCTCTGAGTCGGTGACAATGCCGAGGTTGCCCGATGTTTTCCTGTACTCTAAGGCCTTGTGAGTTTGCATACTAAACACGTTCTACGGACCCACCTGTTCCTAGGCCACTAGTCACGCCATCTAAAGTTAGATCTCCGCGATATTGTGGAGAGAAAGCGAGCCCATAGAGAGCCTTCAGACGTTTGTAAGGTGCCGAATCCGTCCAAAAAACGTAGCCTGCATCCATCATCAGCAAATGCACTGACATATCAGTAGCGTGTTTACACGCACCTTCGCTGCCTATGCCGTTTGATGGAGCTAGCCATCTGAGTATAGGATGCACGATACAGAAAGTCATCAGAAGCTCCTTCTCAGGACTCTGCTTGTGCGAGATAGCATAGAGAAGCACGACAACTTGAGAGAGAAGTGTCAGACATATCCGCATTTTACGCGTGAGGTGATGGACAAAGTTCCATCCCGGGACCTCGCTGTCGAAGCTCCCTGATATGGGAAAAAGCAACGGCTGCTCTGTATTAACAGAATTAGCGCATTGTTCTCAGTTACATGCGCCAGTCGCTACCTTGTGTTGACCGGTAATCTGCTCGCAAACTGGCTGAACAACATGTTATGATTGTTATGGCAGTACTAGAAGTGTCTGAGCGCACCGTCAATGAGCTTGGGAATAAAATGAGCTCTCAAATGGCTACGTATCCGGTCCCTTGACTGAGTGCTACAGGTGTGCATTAGTCCCCCCAGCATATGTCTCGACTAAACTTGGACCTACAAGACACGATCTACACCAACGCTTATCAGAGCGAAGGAAAGCCACATTTCGGCAATTATCTGGAACATTTCGGGTTGGATCCCGGGGGTAGACAGGCTGTCTTCGAGCTGTCCATAAACGTCTTTAGCGCATGATCTACAGGGCCCTGTCTCAGTACACTCACCACGTTGAGGAGACGGCTCAGAAAAAATAGGTTCAGGGCGGATGAAACGCTGAGCCATATGTTGCATGCGAGATAGGTGAGGAGCGGCCAAGGAGCCAGAGAGAATATTTCAGCGCATAGGCGTCGCGCGTACGGGACGTTTCCGCGAGTTCCGCGTAACCATCCCAATATTAGGTGGGATATCCCCAAGGTCGGATCAGAATTGCGCTCCTCAAACGCAATGTCAAAGATGCCGTGTCGGCGGTGACGCAGTGGTGTGCGGGGGGAAGGCAGTCCATCGGGATAAGGGGGGCTGTGGTCAACGAGTGCGTCCGTGGAGGGCATGCTGGTGAAAATGTGTCGGGTGAGTGTTGCAATTTGGTGGTCCGAGTGCAGGGCGACACTTTTATACGCACCAGAAGAGACAAGACCACCTCGATCCTCTTGTGTGACATCCGCTACTCTCGCCGCCACTAAACAACAATCAGAGGCACACCATTGTCGATCGAGAGTGTTGCCAGTGGATAGAGCTAAGACTAAGGAAGATAAATAAAGGGTCGTAATTTGACGTGTGGGCGCGTCGACAAAGGGTAGTACGCACCGGTGTGTCGCGGACGCCAGCTAAAGACAAGCCCCATAACTATGAAATCTCGCGTATTGAGGTGTTTGTAATGACCTGGCAAGAGGTGAAACTCCGCTTAAGGCAAGCATGCGCCCTATTATGTATCTGGGACCCACAGAATGTCACACTATCCGATGCAAGGGGTGACGTCCATAAAGAGATCATTTCGTTCACTCACCGACCATAGCAGAATGCAAGGCGTCACATGTATATTTACAGAAGCGATGCATGAAAGAAGTGTTTTCCCCGGCTTCCTGAGCTGTGGGCGTCAACGACAGGCGAATGACGTTGCCATATGCACAGTACTACGGTCCGAGCCCTTGGTAGTGTTGGTCATCTACCCCATCAGGGGACGCCGCTGAACAGCCATAGAGAGAGAAGTGAAGGGTAGGCGTCGCACGCCAGACGCCTCTGTGTGAAAAGAAACAAGTGAGAAAGGCTTCAATGGAACCATCAAGGGCCAATGTGTTATGAACAGCTGAGTCTGAAATTGTTCCCGGTGAATTGGACAACACCCACGAAGACCGTTTGTAGGGTTGCGATTGCACCGGGCACTTTGGAGGACATTCAACCTAAATGTATAATTGGACACTCAATGTATCCATCAACTGATGGACACTGACGAATGCTTACCTGGAACTGTAGCACGACGGTATGCTCCGACCGGAAGATGAACTGATTGCTTCGTGGACGGTCGTTCTGGGAGCCCCGCAACGAGACTGTGCACCAGAAGAAAGTGCAGTGACGATGAGATGCTTCGTGTACACGGTCGCGGATTGGGGGCCGCTAGATTGGGCTACGGTTAGTACGTAACAGATCAGGCGCCTACCACGCAACGTTTGTAGGCGCTGAGGAAGTTGATATGGGTCGGTCCCAGGATAAAACCACGAGCCGTCAGACCTAACGAGCCTGATCCTTGATCCCCTCGGCTAGATCAAAAGTGTTCCTTCTTCAAAAATGACACGGTAATAAATGAAAGCTCTGCAAAGAGTTCCATGAATTAATAGGCGAGAGCGCTCTGGGACGGGCGAGAGCCTCGTTTCGTTAATTTGATGTGCCGCAGGTCTGGGAGTAATACACCAGTATGACATACTGCTGAACTGACCCATCTAGGCATTAGTTCTAACAAAGCTGGTAAAACATCCTCTACATGGCGACAAGTCGACAGACTCACCTCTCTATTGTTTTTCCATCACGTCGTCCCCCGGTTCTAATGATCGTCCTTTGTCCCCTCCCACACCAAAGCATTCCTTCCCTATAGCTTCAACCACCCATCCATCTTCTCCCACACATTCTCCTGATCCCGCGTCCACTCCTCCCGCTTCTCTCTCGCGCACGCCGCGCATATCCCCTCGCTCACCCAGTCGACCCGCTTGATCCTCTCGAGCGTCTCGAGCGGCTTGTACACCCCGTCGTCCTCAATGGCCGGCTGAATCACAAGCGGGAGCCACTTATCCGCCAAGATATCCGTGCAGTCCATGTGCGACGTCGGCGGCTGTAATTTATTTAAGTCACGCGTCAGAATCATAGTTGAAAGGCGCATGCATTGACGTCAAGTCAAGCGTGGAGGAAGGAAACGAGAGGGACGCGGAAATGGAAAGAGGGAGGGAGGGAGGGAAACGCTGCATTGAATTGTATCGTTGCGAGGACCCACAGACGTACCACCGTGAACAATATAGGCGTAAAGTGGTCCACGACGCCCGTCATGAGGCTCCGGCACCTGTCGACGTCCGCCGGCGAGAGAACGTGCCGCTTCACGATCGACGGGACCAGTTCTGGTTCCGCCTGCTGTTCTCCTGCTCCGAGCACTGTTGGCCCACCGACGTCTCCTGGGGTATCAATTTCGGGCTCGAACTCGGATGTGGTCAGCAGGCTGTAGAAGAGCGGTTTCTTTACCTGGCGGCCCGGTAGACCAGCGGCATAGGAGAGTTGTGGGGGTGCACATGGTCCGAGGGCGAGGATCAGTAGGGGGTTTCAGATGAGAGAGGATTCAGAAAAGCGAGGACGGGCATGAAGGTCATGTCCGGGATATGAGAGCGGTATATGAATGACCAAGTTAGATAGATACGGGTGACACGAGTCCGAAGGACGGTGCATGGTCCGATTTCCGGGGACGCATGGTCAAATGAGCGCAAGGAGTAGGTGTATGCATGCATCGACTTTGTGAGCAAACCAGCCACGTCCTTCGCTGTGCAGACGCAAGGGTACGACTCACCGCATGTATGCCATACCGATTCGCAGCTCCCAGCGCCTCCTCCAAATGCGCGGGATGCTCGAACGGTGCTGGCCCGCCTCCAAATACCTCTTCAAAGTATCCCCGCGCGAGCGCGTGCACCTGGGGGAGGTCGAGCTGCCCAGGCGAGGATGCGCGCAGCACAGCGATGATGTGGGACGGCGGGGCTTGGCGGGATAGTGGTCTGTGACGGGATCAGTCGTACTTCGATGTAAATGCATGGCGACTCCGCCGTTGGGGAAGGGGAGAGGCAAGAATCAAGTTCGATTAAAAGAGGTAACGCACATGTCATGGTAGAGATGCTCAAAGAGCGCAGTCAGATCACCCTCGCTTACACCGTCAGGGGCGTCATACACCTCTCCCAGACGTACGGCAGTCTCCTGCTGGCGCTGGCGCTCTAACAGGGAGCGGTGCACCTTGAACAGAACATCCGGCTGCCCGCGTGCACGAAGGACGAGCGAGCCGTCGTCGAACCAGAAGCGTGGGTGTCGCTCGGCCGCTGCAGACGCTGTCGCGTCAATCTGGGTGGCCATGGTCTTCACGCTGGCGGACTTTGACTGCCGTGCTTTCCAGACGTTCCAGCCGATGCCTGTCGCGAGAAGGGTCACGGGGATGATGACCCACGACCGGTGGGTGAGTAGGGAGAGGGAGGAGGAGGATGGTGAGGCCATCGTCTGAGTCTACCGGTATCGTCATCTGTCATCTCCCACCCATATGGACCGTCGAGCGGCGTTCTCAGCCAAACCTCGGGCTTCGGCTTGGTTGATGACGAACTTCCGTGCGATCGCAACGGCACTGGCACCGTCCTCAATCTGCTCATCACTTCTCGCGACGAAAAGACAAACAGCCTCAAGAGCCAAAGAACGACACTCGAACGAATGCGTATGCGATATTACGATATGTATGCTACAAAGGAAGAAAACGCTTCCCTTCCCTCTCTAATACAACACCTTGCTCAGCCGCTGTATACTCGTGAGCAGCAGATCGCCCTGCTTCACCACCTTCTCGTACTGCGCGATCTTGAGCGACGGCCGCGTCGTCTCAACCACGCCTGCGACCTTGTCGATCGTGCAGTGCAGCCGACCGTTGGCGATGAAGCGCGAGAGTTCCCTGTGTATGGTGTCCATAAATTAGCATCGAGACGCAGCTGTGAAGCAGGACGGACGGTACGTACGAATCGATGAAGGGCACAGAGACACCGAATGCGGCCGCGAGTGAGTCGAGCGTGAGCGATCGGTAGGACTCGAGGAGCTGGCTGTACGCGAGGATGCGCATCTCGCGCACGTAGTAACGTGTGTGTGGCGAGAGGAGGCGCGAGGGAAGGAGAAAGTTTTGTTCGAGGTTGGCTGCGTGCACCGGCATTTGTCAGTTATCCGAACATCAAGCGTCAGAGATGGGCTCACCAAGGGCAACGAAGAACTTCTCGTAATGGCATTTGTACAGGTTGCTCGTAAAGTCTGCGAGGACGGGAAGCTCGGGGAGGGCGGAGATGACTTCGGGAGCTGAGATTAGCTGAGTCCCCCATGGTATACGTCAGTCTCACGTCACGGGCTATGATGGGGAGGAGGGACGCGCCTTCTTCTTCAAATCAACACGCTTAAGCGTGAGGGTGTTGACGATGATCGTGAGCGCAACGAATTCGTTATATGGAATAAGCTCCACGGCCGTGAATGTTGAGAGCGCATCGAGGAGAAGCTCGCCAGCCCGCTCGAACTGCCGGATGGATGCGAGGTGCATGCCCCGGTAGACCTTGAGCCGGTTGCGTCTATCCCAGTCGCCACCTTCTTCTATGAGCCTTTGCAAGGATACGGGTCAATTTCCAGTGCGATGCAAGTGAGGGGAGAGAATAGGAAGGGGGGAGGTACGCACTTCTCAGCCTCGGCGAGGTTCTCAGTGATGACTGCGTGGTCTCCGAAGAATATGCCGATCCGAATGAGGGTGAGCACGATATCGATCCTTGATCCAAGGCCTGCCGTCTTCTTGAGCGCGAGTTTTTGCGCCTCGATCGCGCGGTCCTACATGTCGAAGGACGCATACAGCCACTTTAGCACTGATGTTATGGCTGCATGTATAGTACGCACCTTTTCACCAATCTTCGTGAGATAGTTTGCCCTGGCCTTGAGCGCGTCTGAAATCTCGGACTCGCCCTCTGTCTTCTCCGCCTCGGCGAGACGCTCGTCAAGCTTGGCGAGCTCGTCCTCGTTTGCTTTCTCCAGTTCGTTGAGCACGGCGGCGTCGGTTGGTATGGCATTGCTGGAGGTTACGACCTTGTAATAAGGCGCCATTTCTGCATATCTTGTCAAAGAGAGCATGGAGTGAGTGAAGGGTGGACGTACGGTCGGCCTTGATCCCCTCGAGTAGATCCTTGCGCGCATTGTCGTGCAGGCGGGTGAGGGATGACGTGCTGAGGGTAAAGTAATGCTGGGCGAGGACGAGGTTGGGGATCGGGAGAATGACTTCGTCGCCCATGCTGAATGAAACCTAGTAACTTGTAAGGAGAATGAAATGGATGGCGAGTAGGAGCTCCTAAGACGAGGACGCGTCAGTGGAAAGTCAAAAGTTCGCACGGCCAGACGCGTCATTCCCTCCTCCCTTGCTCGTTAACATCTGAGCCTGTCCCGTCCCCCTTCCTGTCGACATCGTCTCTTGTTCACTGCATCACCCATCTCCTTCAATATCAAGCAACATGTCTTCACTAGCTGATGTGCTGAAGGAGGCAGAGGCAAACGCCTCGACGAATCCCAAGCGCGCCGAGGAGCTGTACAAGCAGGTGCTTGATTCCGCCTCAGGTATGTCTATCAGTCGACCTTTTCGCCACCTTCATTTCAATGCTAACATAAGGTCATGTCCCTATAGCATCTTCATCGAAATCGTCATCAGCGGCGAACGCAGAGATCCTTCGAGACCAAGAATCTGCGCTGCTCAAGCTCGCTGAGCTATACCGCGATCAGAAGTGCGTCTATCCGCTTGAGCTTTGTATTCAGCGTCAAGTATAACTTATATGCGCGTAGAAATGCCACAGGTCTCGCCGAAGTCATTACCCTCTCCCGCTCCTTTGTCTCCTCCATCGCCAAGGCCAAAACCGCCAAGCTCAGTACGTCTCTTCCAGCTGCCCAACCGCTGTTGTCCTGAGGCTGATGCGTACGCAGTCCGGACCCTGCTCAATTACTTCACTGCGATCCCGGATAGCCGGCAGGCCCAGATTGATGTCCTCATGGACAACATCGAGTGGGCCAAGCGCGAGAAGCGCATCTTCCTCAAGCACTCGCTCGAGGTCCGCCTTGTCTCCCTGTACGTATTCCAACCCTTCTTCTCGCATCAGTAGGAGAGCAGACGACTAATACGTGTGTGCAGGCAGCTGGAAGCGTCGCAGTTCAAGCTCGCGCTGACCCGGATCGACGCGCTCCTAACGGAGCTGCGCAGGCTGGACGACAAGATGATCCTCACGGAAGTGCATCTCCTCGAAAGCCGGGTGTACAGGGGTATTGGGAACTTGTCCAAGGCTAAGGTGTGTCCCTCTATCCTATCACTGACATTCATCGCCGGTTGACAGCTGTATGCAGGCCGCACTCACTTCAGCACGGACCGCCGCCAACTCGATCTACTGCCCACCTCATCTCCAAGCCGCGCTCGATCTGCAGAGTGGCGCGCTCCACGCCGAGGATAAGGACTACACGACCGCATACTCGTACTTCTTCGAGACATTCGAGAGCCTGTCCGTTCAGGGCGACCCGACTGCGCTCAACGCACTCAAGTATATGCTACTCTGCAAGGTCATGCTCAACCTTGTGCGTCTTCCCTTTGCTTCAATCTGTGCTCAAGACGGCTCACCTTGCTACCCCTGCAGCCTGAAGACGTGACGTCCCTCTTGAGCATCAAGCTCGCTGTCAAATACGCTCAGCTGCGCGAGATCGAGAGCATGCGCGCGATCGCGTTCGCGCATCAGAACCGTAACCTATCCGAGTTTGAACGCGTCCTCCGGGAGTACAAGGACGGTGCGCATCTCCCTTCACCCCCTGCCATTCTGCATTGTCATCTCACTTATTCTTTTACCCCATTCACGCCAAGTAGAGCTGAGCTCGGACCCAACCATCCGTTCGCACCTCGCAGCACTGTACGACACCCTCCTGCAGCAAAATCTCCTGCGCATCGTCGAGCCGTATTCGGTCGTCGAGCTCGACTACGTCGCGGAGCAGGTTGGCCAGGGCCGGCAGGAGGTCGAGGCGAAGCTGTCGCAGATGATCCTCGATAAGGTGTTCTATGGCGTGCTCGACCAGGGGAGGGGGTGTTTGTTGGTGTTCGACGAGCCTGAGGTCGACGTGAGTTTCTCTTTTCTTCTTTAGCTCTTTGGATTTTTCGGGGTGCTGATTGCGTGTGGGATGCAGAACTCGTACGGAGCAGGAATCGAGACGCTGGAGCAAGTGAGCAATGTCGTGGAGTCGTTGTACGCTAAGGTGAGTTTGTTTGCTTTCTGGTGGTATGGTGGAGTGCTGATCGGTGTGTCCAGACTGTTACTATTGCATAGACACATTCAGCCTGTATCATCCACTTTCTCTTCGTATCACACACCGGTTATCAAACGTTTTGCAATCGCGATCATCGTCTCCTGCAAAGCTTCTAAGCTAGCAGCGGTTTTTCCTTGGCGGTGGGTTCCTAGGCATCACAGCCACATATTCCACATGGTACGCGGCGATTCGGGGTACATATCCCACGATACATTTCGTGATGAACAGATAGAAGAGGTCAATTGAGGTCTTTCATGGCCGAAGCGCGGAAAGAATAGGTAGCCATTGTGACGTTTGGGGAACGGAACTTCCGTTCAACCACTGCCTCGATCTGTCTGACGAAGGTTCACGACCGCGATCACCGCGTAAGAAGCACAATGGCGAGATACCTCACATGTGGTTGAGGCCATGATAGGCCGACGGGAGTCAACTGACTTTTGCGATAGTGACCAGAAGAGTTCTTTGGAAGAAGACGGCCTCGCTTCGCCGCTGTAAGTTCTTCGCCGGCCGTCGTACAAAAGGGCATGTAGCGGTTCTACGACATGCGTATCTGCATCCTGTCCTCCGTCGAACACTCGGGATGAAGCTATCTCTGCTCCTCGGTCTCGTTGGTGCTTCTCTTGTCAATGCCGATGTTCCTGCCTTCAGAGGCTCTCCCTTCAAGCTCAAGGAGAGCATCTCGGCTCCTTCGACGGGATGGGTCAAAGGGTCAGCAGCGCAGCTGGACACCGTGCTCACCTTTCAGATCGGACTCTCCCGCCCGCGCTTCGGAGAGCTCGAGCAGAACCTGATGGAGATCAGCGACCCGTCCCACGCGCGATATGGCGTGCATCTGTCCAAGGACGACGTGCTCGAGCTCATGGCGCCGCAATCGGACACGCAGGAGGTTGTTGCGGAGTGGCTTGCGCTCTACGGGCTTAACGAGACGAGCGTCAGTTACTCGTCTGCGAAAGATGCGATGACGCTCAGCGCGCCTGTACGCGTCGCCGAGTCCATGTTCAACACGGTACGATACATGTTCTTGGCGCGTGCCAGTATCAGCGGTACTCAACTTGCGTAGAGTTTTTACGTTTACAGCCACGCGGATTCCGGTGACAGTCTCGTCCGCACGACGCAGTACAGTCTCCCCGAGGTTCTCGATGACCACATCGCCCTCGTCCAACCGCTCGTCATGCTCGCTTCTTTGGGCCAAGTCGCTAAACCGACGCCATCCTCGGCCGGCGGGCCTACTCCGTTGACTCCCACGCAGGATGTCAATAGCACTGCTGTCGACCCCTCGTGCAACTACCAGATCACGCCCGACTGCCTTCGCCAGCTGTACAACATCGGGAACTACACGCCTTCCGCCAACGGAGGCAGCGCGATCGCGGTCTCGGAGTTCGAGAACGAGTGGGCGAATTTCACGGACTACGATACGTTCTTGGCGGAGAACGTGCCCTCCGCCGCTGCTGGATCCAACTTCTCGATCGTATCTGTCACTGGTGCGTGGTTTGATAATGTGTGGTGTAGTGGTACGATCTTACCTATTTCCCCGTTCTACTAGGTGGTGTAAACAACCAGTCGGAGCCCGGCGGCGAGGCCAGTCTCGACGTGCAGTACGCGTTCGGCCTGACACGGCCCCTTCCCGCGACGTTCTATACCGTCGGCGGGTCTCCGTATTCTAGCAACTGGACATTTTCGACGGGACTCTTGGACGTGGGTGACATGCTTACCTTTCAAGCAAGCGAAAGCATACCGAACTGAAGAATTCACATTAGCTCGCCGACTTTTTGTTGAACCAGACGGATCTTCCTCCAGTCATCTCGACGAGTTACGGGGAAGATGAAACTACCGGTAAGTTTCAATCCCGATCTTCCTGCGTATACTCATTCAAAGTGCACCCTGCTTACGCGTGATCCAGTTACGTCCGCACAAGCTAACAGGATATGTCAAGGATTTGCTGCTCTAGGTGAGCTTCTCGACTGCCCTATACCTGCAATGTCTGATGAGTCCGTGGTTTTGTCACAGGCGCGCGCGGAATGTCAGTTCTCTTTTCCTCAGGGGATTACGGAGTCGGATATCCGTCAGGAAGCCCTGTGGCGTTCACAGTGCACTTCCCCGCTAGCTGCCCATAGTATGTCTCCCAAGCTCATTTACTATGCTGGCTGGTCTCACTGATGGCGGTGCAACGTAGCGTCACGTCCGTTGGAATGACAACTGGTATTCATGAAGTCGCCGGGAATATCGACAATGAGGTATCCAGTGGCGGCGGGTTTAGCACTATCGTGTGTACACCTATATATGATACCGAACCTGGCTGAGATCTCACCATGCCGCTAGTTCCCTCGACCATCATACCAAGACGAGCAGGTCAGCGATTATCTGACCTATCTTGGAGACCAGTACTCTGGGCTGTATAACTCGTAGGTTTACCTTGTGTAAATAACACGGTGTACTGACTGCATTCCCGTAGGAGCGGACGCGTATGAAACCTTTCCTCTCCCCCTTCCTATACTGACCTCAGTGGCGCTGCATAGGGGTATCCAGATGTGTCCGCCCAAGGCATCAACTTTCTGGTCGAGATATACGGCTACAAGTCGAACGAAACAGGGACCTCGGCATCCGTGCCTACATTTGCTGGGGTCATTGCACTCCTCAACGACGCACGGTCGAATGCCGGAAAGTCGACGCTCGGGTTCCTGAACCCGTGGTTGTACTCGTCTGGGTACAGTGCGCTGAACGATATCACGGAAGGGACTAACCCTGGTGCTGGGACAAACGGTTTCAATGTGCGTGCATGTTCACGTGCCGAATTAAACGTCATCTGAAACTTTCCCGATGATCCTATTTGAAGGCCACGAAGGGATGGGACCCCCGTATGTTTCCTCCACGTGCTGATATTCGCGCGGCTTTCTGACATTGGATTTAGTCACCGGCCTTGGGACGCCTGATTTTGCGAAGCTTCAAGCGCTTGTACTGGCATGAACCACACTATGACACCGCGCTCTACTAGTGGTTCCAATAGTATCGTTTATCGTGGTAATATACGTACAGTATTGCAGGATGGCCAACTATTGGGTGACCAGCTCGGACTACACCTTCATCCAAATTAACTTACAATTTCGGTGTGAACATTGCGTCGAGAAATCAAAAAGGAGATGGAACAGCGCCTTGAGATGCACGACTGCGAGTGAGCCATTGTCAACCTGGGAGTGTTCCAGGGAGAGCTGCTTCACACAAGAGATGTGCGATTCCGTATTGTTATCCTCGAAATTATCTTCGGAAACCACATTCCGAGAACTGGCGGCGGTGATCATGCACCGCAGCTTACTCAGAATTTACCGAGGGTATGTGATCTTCTTCCACCGAGCTGATGCCTAACTTCGCCCCACCATGGGGCACCGCCAGGTTCATGACTTCGTAGTAGAGTCTATCTTAGGTCTATCTAGGGCCGGCTCACGAAATGAATTGCATGTCCGCGCAAGAGCGGCCGATGCCTTCAGATCCAGGTGGGAGCATATGACTCCGATAAGGTCGGATATCTCGAGGCAGTGGTACATACACCTATGAACGTTTCAGACGACTCAGAAGCGAAGGCAAAGTGAAGGTCAAACGGAAGTGCTCGCGTTTGAGTCCCCCCCCTCCAAAAAAACAAAGAAGTGTTCGCGTGACAGATGTCACACCTAAATCATCACTTCGTAACCATGTCATGACGCGGTATGTTACATTGTCACATCACATCATCGGCAGAGCGCGTTGAGTTGGCGTTTGGACTGGCAGCTGTCTGTCATCCCGAGACCACAGGTACTTAGAGTTAAAGTGAGTCGGAGTGAAACGGATATGCACTCTGCTTTCTAACTTGGTCATTAGAACAGCATAGCGGCTTCATCATACTACTATGACCACCGTCGGCATCGTGAATCACCAAGAGCGACAACGTCACTACTCTCAGATCGATAACGAAATCGCTACTCATGTCGAAGCCACACGAGCGCTCTACACTCGCAGAAACATGCTTTCACCCACCTGCTCCATACCGGCTGAAGTTCTCTGCGAGATCTTTGCCTTTGCAGCACCCTTGACGCCAGGCACTCCCCTCATTGACCCACGCCACCTCCTTCTTCTCACCCAGGTGTGTAAACACTGGCGTGAAGTGGCCTTGAATTTCCCACACCTCTGGTCCATATACGACACTGGGATGATGCCAAAGCAGTTCATCATGACTATGCTGGAACGAGCAAAGGAGCATCCACTGGATATATATGCCAAAGTCACCAATGAGAACCAAGACCTTATGGGAGAGTTCTTGTCACGGCTTCATCAGACGCGTCTACTGTTTATGGACTTCCCAACGTCTTACGCGACTACCCTTGCCGAACGTCTGACATCGCATTCTCCAACTATCCTTCAAACACTTCATCTTGTTGGAGCGCGTCCTGTCGTCGTGCATCTTTCGCAAAGCTTGGTGGGTAACACACCTAAATTGAACAAGATGGTCCTCAGGAGATGCGCGTTGCCCTGGCGTTTGCCGATCTATGGAAGATTGACGCGGCTTGACCTTCTTGATCTGGACAACCTCTCACCCAGCCCCAAAGACTTGTGGACTGTCCTGGAAGGTGCAACCTCCCTTGAAGTTCTAAAACTCAGTTTTTCACTCCGTCGTCGTCTGTATTCGGTTCCGCCAACGTGGGACCTACCAAAGCTGGTAGATCTGCCGAGAATCAAGTATATATCAATAAATGAAAATTTCTGCTCATACGCCCACTTCTTTTCGCGCGTTCGTGTTCCTCCCGATGCTCATATATCAGTCACCACAACACTTTCAGCCCGGGATGCGGCACTTCTGGAAGGAAATCTTCCTCCGATGTCTCCCGATTTCTTCTCTCTTCACCGCGCTGAGGGCCCGATGATGCCTTGCAACACACTCAAGATCGGGATATACAACGGCCACATTCGATGCTCTGTTTATGACAGGCACCTTGAGAACAAACGCACGTGCAAGCACCACGATGATCGCCTGGAGGACTGTCGCATCTTCCTCGCTTACGTGTTCGACTATCACATTGACGACTTGGAGATCATCAGCCCATTCAGCTCTTTCTGTCACGGCTCGCCCCTCATCTCCATCCATACGCTCGAAATTATGGTGGATCAAGACTATCTCGGGGAAGTTCCGTGGTGTGTCATCTTCCCCGCTTTACCTCGCATCCAGCGTCTCCGCGCAAGTTTCAACAATATCAGATCACTGCACATGATCGAAGCGCTCGCTCCTCGCTCCCGCGTTCTCCACGCTCCCCAGCTTCGCGAGATTTCCTTGGAGCTCGATGACCATACTCAGGACACGACACGCTTGGGCGAGTGCATGGCGGATGCCCTTGAACAGCGCGCGTCGTTAGACGTCAAACTGGATAAATTGACAGGCAACGGGTTCTCCATGCCCGAGCCGTATCTCTCGAGGGTGAGATGCGTGGTCGAGGATGTTCAAGGATTCGAAGAGATTAGTTAGCCTCGGTCAAGCGGTCGGGTACATTTTAGGCGGGATTGGCGATTCGTGCGGCTACTGCTAGAGTTATGAGGAATTTCTTGAAATCAATGGAGATCATGTCGACAGTATAAACCTCTCATGACAGTTGCGCCTTGCCTTGCCAACTGGAGTGTTTCTTCTTGAAATTTATCATTAGACGCCGCACGCCTGTCAGAATTGCTAGATACGGACTACCCGTAGTACGATTCAGATGGACTCTGCTCGTCGATAAACCCACTATCCTTGCCCGTCCAAAGAGGACGGCGAAGCGTTATCGGGGCACACTTCCTATCGAACATGTCGAAGATCTACCATCATATGAGGAAGGTGAAGTGGAGGGAGGTGTCGAGGTGGACATGCGAGACGAGAACATTGCACGTTTGCCTCCCGATGAGGATACGCAAGACAATGAAGATGGTATGGATGGGGCGGTGGCGAGGAACTGGGGGAAGAGCTGCCCTGGACTTCGAGAGATTGGGTTGACAATGGGAGTGTTGTGGGGAGAGAAAGGGCATGGAAGCGGATGACGTATCATTTCAAAGGAACCAAGAGAGTGGTCCACTCTGACGGACCGAAATAAAAGCCTGGAGATGTATGCTTGCTATGTATTTCCGTTATATTTGAACTAACTATCTCTTTATAATTGAATATATTTCTTCAAACAAAGCACACATGAATATTGCGCGCTGAAGTTCAAGAAAAGAAAACGACTTTCTGTCAACAACGAGCAAACTACATGGCTGGTTTACAACGGGCAACAACATCCGTTGTCGCTCGTGAAATTTGGGAAATAGGAGCCTTATCTAACCATCGCCTGTATGACAGCTGCAATCACTGAAAGAAAGCTGGCACACGTTTCCGTCATAAAATTCCTCGCTAGATCTACTGCGAAGCCAATAAGGTGAATAGCGGACATCTGATATACATATCTATACATGTTTGCTCAGGATGAAGCCATCATTGGTTCTCGGCCTTGATTATGCCGCTCTCGTCGGCACCAAAGCTCCGAGTGGACCTCTTTCCAAATTACCTTCGCCTCAGCGTCCGAGCCTTGGGCCAAGAAGTTCACAAGGTACGGGAACAGCGCCCTGATACACGCAACTGTGTATGCCACATCATCGATCGGGGAGGCCTCCAGGGACAGCCGCGTTACACGCGAGATGTGCGGTTCCACCATTGTTATATACTCGAGAGGCGGATTATGAGAGACGCGAGCGTCAACGATAAGGTAAACGTCCTGGAGCTCACGGCAGTTGGCGATGATTGTGCGTATCCCTGAAAATGTGATGGTCTGGAGTAGATGGTCATCTTCGCGGGGTTTCCATGAGTAATGAAAGGTACGGAGGCGAGGAAATGCTAGGGACAGGTACTCGAGACCGGTATCATCCATGACAGGTGCTCGTGGTGAATCGATGCGAAGGTCCGTGAGGCTGGAAAATATGAAAAGAGGTCGTATATCATCCATCGTGGGAAATTCTCCCCTCTGAATTCTTGACTGGGTAGAGATGGATATTCTTGTCACGCGTTCTGGAGACAGCGTCTCTGCGATAATCCCAACGAAGCTCGTCAGAGCATTACGGGCAGAAGCCAACGTATCCAGACTGATTTGTGTCACAGAACTGAAGTTGTATGTTCCATCAAAGAGTTGGCAGACGGCCGAATACGTCCATGCGGACACGCAGAGACTGGTAAGAGAAGGGAACACAATGCGATGGTGTTGGTTCGTAACGGTAACCTGTATGGTTCCCATGTCTATCTGGAGTGTTCGCAAGCACGGAGCATGCGCGATAGCAGCCAGCCACTCGTTGTAGCTAGCACCACTTGGGGGTTGCATAGTGATGGACACGAGCGTTTGCATCCTCGAAAAAGCTTCTGAGAGCTGAGAAAGGGTACAGCCGTCGCCAGGTACGATAGAGAGAGAGCTATTTGAAAGATGGAGGGATCTGAGAGCTGGGCATCGTTGACTGATGACTCTGATGGTTCCGCCTGGCACCATTCCCTCGAAGGTGATATCAAGAAGGGTGGGGACGAGGAAATATGCCAATGATGCCGTGCGTGAGCTACCGGCAACAATGGTGTTTAGATTGCTCGGGTCGATATACAAGTGTCTCAAACTTGGGAACAACACCGACTCGCCCGGGGTGTAGGATAGTGCCGCATTGAGTATGCCGTAGTGTATCGGAGGTGTTCGAATTGAAGACTCCCCAAAATCGGGACTGATGAGGTGTAGAACATTGACCCTAGAAGAAAGCCTCAAGAAAGGTCGCCAGTCATACCGCCTGGCCACATTTGCGAGTATTTTCTGGGACATGGAACCCTCAAGAACATCCTGGGTTTGACGGGCAGCTGGCCGAATATGCGCCTAGTGATTGGCCGATCTGAGATCAGAATGGAGGCTGGAATTCAATGAGATTGATTTGATAGACTCACCCGTGCATTAACATCTTGATACTCTCCCGCCGAACTGATGCCCAACCTCATTCCGCCAAAGAGATCCCCCAAGTTCATGGTCTCGCAGTAGAGTTCATCCAAAGCCGGCTCACGGAGCGATTTGCATGTGCGCGCGAGCGATGCCAGCGTCTTGGCATTAAGATAAAGAAAGATTTCCTCCACGAGCTCAGGGATCTCAAGACAATGGTGCATGTCCCTGTATCAACTGTCGGAGTGGAGTGGCAGATGCTTGAAGTGCGCGTACAGCACGCTGTCACTCCGCTAACTCTTTCTGTGACAAGTCACTGAGCTGTCACGCCGTGTCTTCAAGTTCCACTCCTGCAATCCATCATCATATCTTGATTCACGCTCCCCTCATGCTCTCTCATACTCGAAATATCGAGACGCTACATAGGAGCCATAGATCTGTCCCAGAAGTCAACCGAGGCAGCAGCGTCCGCCGAGAACTGCTCCTATCGAGCCCAACATGCCTCCGAATTCGGCATCTGGTAATCTCATCACTTCATTTCATCCGTAAGTTTACACTCTCGTTGGCGCTGACGAGAGCAGCGCCAACGCCCTCAGCTTTAGCGTTTCCAAGCTTAAAGAGAGTATCTCGACCCTATCAGAGGGATGAGTCCAACACTCGACGGCAGACCCGGACACCACTCTTACTTTCCAGATCGCGTTCTCGCGTCTGCGATTTGGTGAGCTCGAGCAAAACCTGATGGAGATCAGCGACCCTTCCCACGCGTGATACGGCCAGCATCTGTCCAAGGACGAGGCGCACGAGCTCATGGCGCCTCATCCAGACACGCCGGATGTTGTCTCGCAGTGGCTCGTATTTCATGGGATTGATGAGGCGAACATCAAGTATTCTTCCACCGGAGACTTTATGACTATCAGTGCTCCCGGCGTACGTGTGGCCGAGTCTATGTTTGATACGGTACGTTGCATTTCGCTTCCTCAATCTCAATGGCGGTCGCTAACATTGCTTAGGACTTCCACGTCTATGCCGATTCAGGGGATGCCCTCGCGCGCACGACAAAATACAGTATTCCAGAGGTTCTCCATAATCATGTCAACCTCGTCCAGCCGCTCGTCATGCTCGCTCCTCCGCCTCAAGCGTCAAAGCCGGCTACGCCTTCTAGCAAGATCACGTCAGCTGACCTGAGCCAGGAAGACAACGCCGTCGATCCCTCGTGCGATTATCAGATCAACCCTAACTGCCTTCGCCAACTTTACAACATTGGAAACTACACGGCGTCTCCTGCTAAAGGCAATGTAATTGCGGTCTCGGCGTTTGAAGAGCAGTACGCGAGTTACACGGACTACGCGCTGTTTGTGGAGGGTTATGCCCCGTCCGCTTCCGGAGCAAACTTCTCTGTTGTCCCTATCATCGGTACGTCGTCTCCCAACATGACACGTATTTGCTTACATACAACTGTAGGTGGGATTAACGACGCAACGGCCCCCGGTGTCGAAGCCAATCTGGACATACGTTACGCGTTTGGTTTGACATGGCCCATTCCCGCGACATTCTATACCGTCGACAATTACTCAGATACAGCTGGGAATGGGAACTACACGTTTGCCACTGCAGCGCTTCACGTGGGTGGCATGCACCTTGTCTCATTTACAGTAGGCTGAACTGAAGCGTTCGCCCTAGTATATCGACTTCTTGTTGGATCAGACAGACATACCCCCAGTCATCTCGAACAGCTACGGAAACGACGAAACGATATGTATGTCACTTCGTATCTCTTCATCTCTAGCTGGGACCTTTTTTACTCATGCTCCATCCTAGTTACGCCCGCACAAGCCAACAAGATATGCCAAGGCTTTGCTGCATTGGGTGAATTCACCTTTATGATACATATTTCCAGTAGTATAGACTGACTTCCCATCCACTATGTAGGGGCGCATGGGGTCTCTGTCCTGTACTCCTCTGGAGACAACGGAGTCGGATATTTCTATCAAGAGCCGACACCGTTCTTGATCCATTTCCCTGGTAGCTGCCCATAGTAAGTCTTTCTTGTGGTACACACACGGCCGTGGTTGACTCCTCTCTACTGTAGTGTCACGATGGTCGGAATGACAACTGGAATTAAGGAAGTTTCTGGCACTATCACTGAATTTGCCTCCAGTGGCGGCGGGTTCAGTAACTACGTGTGTACATCGCTATACTACAGGTGCCGTACTGGTGGCCTGATCGTGGTCATAGTTCCCTCGCCCATCGTACCAAGACAAGCAGGCCAACGACTATCTAAGCTATCTCGGAGATCAGTACCAGGGCCTGTACAATTCGTAAGCCAGCCTTCCCCGAATCGCGCTTAGATGGTGTACTGACCGTACTTTCTCAGGAGCGGACGCGTATGGCATTTCTACTTCTTTCTCTATTCCCTCCCGTCTGACATTGCTCAGGGCATCATCCAGGGGTATTCGGACGTGTCCGCCCAAGGCATCGATTACTTGATTGAATACTACGGGTACACGTACAACGAAACGGGCACCTCGGCTGCTACACCCGCGTTCGCTGCCGTCATTGCGCTGCTCAACGATGTGCGGATGGATGCCGGAAAGGGGCCAGTCGGGTTCTTGAACCCGTGGCTGTACTCGTCGGGCTATGCCGAGCTGAAAGATATCACTGAGGGAAGTAACCCCAGCAGTGGAACTAACGGCTTCAACGTGAGTACCTGTACACTCGTGAAAGTTTTGAGACAAAGACCTTATGAAATGAGCTCTTCTCAGTGTACGAAAGGGTGGACCCAGGTAAGATATACTTGCGAGATCATCTTAGTCCTATTTCTCAACATCTGTTCAAGTGACTGGGTTCGGGACACCTGACTTCGCGAAGCTCAAAGAGCTTGTAATAGCACAAAGGGTCGATAGAGTGGACAAGCCGAGACCGACGTCCCCATCGCTGATATTATATCTTCAAGTAAATTTGAACTCACGCCGCTTTCGTTCTTTAAGCTTGATTGCTCTGACTAGCTGAAATACCTTTTCTTGCCTAATTTGACTATCTATCGCTTGCTCTTCGCGCCCCTCATCGATCATCGGCTAACGGTACTCTGAATTAGGTATGGCTTTCTCCATCCATGTGTCGACGCCGCTATTGTCACTCATTTCTGGAATACTGTTTTACTTTTTGATAATGACACGCACGAGACGTTTAATTACCATTGAAAACGCCTACGCTTAGGCCGATTTACAAGGCTCACATACTCTCATCGCTCTTTTACTCTCCCCATCACTAGCGCTGTCCTTTCCTATGGCATCGGTTTGCTCAGACACCGTATTCATGCGACATACATCCAACGAAAACCATACGATACAGTCGAAGTATTCACACCTGGTAAGAAAATGCTCTTGTGGTTGGCACGAAATTTCCTGATGACTCCTTTGATTAACATCATCTTCGCAGTCATCTCGCAGATTGCAGAATTCTTCTACTACGGATAACTTTCATAACGACAGCATACCCCCAATAAACAGGATTCCCTGTGAGGTGCTCGAGCTCATCTTCGAAACATGTCTCCCCAACGATGGCTGGTGTACTCCTTCTGCAAACCTAATGCCGCTAGTCCTCGGACGCGTTTGCGGGATGTGGCGACTGGTATCGCTCTCAACCCCACGCCTATGGACCTCGCTCGCGATTAGCATCACCGCTTTAGAAAGGGTTCGCGATGAGAGGAGGCATGCCGATGACATCATGACACAAGTTATTAAGCCGCTATTCGCGCTACGCACATGGATAGAGCGGGCAGGCACACGATCAATTCGCCTCAAAGTCACCGACGAAGATATTCGCGTCCCGGCGGAAGCAGTTCGGCCACTCGTGCAGACACTCTGCACGCACGCATATCGTTGGCGAAGTATGCATTTCGGCATCAGAGCCTCATGCTTATGCACCTTCGATCGCGTCTTCCAGCACAACATGCCCGCTCTCACCGATGCAACCATACGCGTCAGTCCTAGCCTCCCTGGCATCCATAGCACTCGACACTCTCCACCACCAAACTTTCCCTGTCTGACACACTTCTCGTGGGCTGCACCATTTGACGCTCCATACCTTTCAAAGGAGACGTGGAGCCAGCTCACAGAGTTATCCATCTTCTATGACCTCTCACCCACGCCGCACTCCATTCGTTCCCATCTTGATGCAGTAACCTATCGCTCCCTCTGCCGTGCTCGCAACCTGGTGACGCTCAATATCGGAGTCATAGACCCTGACCCGAGCGTCAGCGGAGGCGGCGGCGGGCACGAAGAAGTGCTCCTGCCGAACCTAGAGTGCCTCCGCATACGGCGCCTAATCCCTTCAGCCAAGCTTGGCGCCAGCATCGCATCCCTTGTTGTCCCCAAGCTTCGTCAGCTCAAAGTTGACGACGTGACAGGCTCTTCTGATGAGCCTGATTATGCTTGTGACTGGGGAACAAAGGCGATTGTGACGTGTCTGGAGCGCTCGAATTGCAACCTGCGAGAACTCAGAATCCATACGTATGTCGCGGAAACGGAGCTGCGCAGAATAATGGAGTTTTGCTCGTATACAGGTTGATGGAGATTGATGTTTTGAATGTGTTTTAGAGTCCACGTAATCAGCCATGACCACTAGTATATCGCCCACTTGCGTCTACATCGACAGTAAAGCACTGAATTTGACATAATATTCGAATTAAGTATGATGAAATAGTGAGATAGATTTCTGACAGCGTTACTGCTAAAATAATAGACACTTCACTTCAAACCACAGTTGTGTCATTTCATCCTCCGGACCGTCTCCAGAGAACTGATCCAGACCCGGAAATAGAACTCGAAGACATTCGGCGGCATATTCTACATCGTCAATCTGAGAATGAACAAAGGACAAGACCTTGACGCGCATAGCAGGGGTACCGGTGTGTATATCTTCCAAGAACGGATTCTGCGTGGCTCGGGCATCTATGACCAGTTTGAGGGACCGTAAATCAACACAACACGCTATCAAGGAAGACAACCCGGTCAATGTGATGACAGAGACGCTACTGCTATGCTCCTCCGTCGGTGTCCAGACGTAGTGGAGAGTTCGAAGATGGGGAAAGGATTGAGACAGCTCCGTCAAGTCGGCGTTGCTAAGCGCCGGTGCCATCTCGGACTCCATGACGAACTCGGTCAAGTTTGTGAACTTGAGTAAGCGGCGAATCCTGTTAAAATCTATAGGTTCTATTGGGGCCTTCCTGGTAACAACAGATATCCTGGACATGTGGTCGACTGAGAATAACGCTGCGATTGGCCCCATGATCCAGTTGAAGTGACGCGCTGTCGAGTTCTTGGTATATATATCAAGGTGGGTGACAGAGGGGAAGTTGTTAGGACCTGTTATGAGCAGATAATAGACTGTTTCCATGTGCAGGCTGGACACATTAAATCTCTGGAGTGTACCAAGGGTGGTGGGTGGTGTCTGTTTTGCGTAACGAAATCCCCAAATGCCCAGATTAAGCGTACGGAGGCAGGGAAGATGGGAGATGACGGGTATCCATTCACGGCTTGTCCGGGAGCAGTTCCTATCAAGAGTAAGTGACTCAAGAGCGCTTAGTTTTCGGAAGGAACTGGCAAGGCGCATTGGTGAAGATCCTTCCCCGTCTTCGAACATCTTGGCACTGCCCCAGGTGTCAATTTTACCTATGCTGAGGTGACGTAGGGAGCTTTGTAGACGATCACAGATCATCTCTACAGCTGTATATCGCACGTCGAGGTATAAGTCGACCTTGACAAGCGTATTGACAAGAAAATAGTTGAGTGCGACTTCCAGGGAGCACCCAACCAGATCTGTGGTAGGTTCTGAAGGCGTTGAGAACGTGACGGACAGAACTCTTAGGTTGGGGAAAAGATCTTTTATGCCTGAAGAGTTATAGAGCAAAGCTTGATCGAGCACATTATGGTGCAGTACGGACGACCTCGACGGATGCCGGGGGTCTGTCTCGGCAAGGTGAATGTTTAGAGAGCGAACTGGGGAAGTGAACTGTTGCAAAGTGTTCCAGTCCTCGTGAGTGAAGGGACGGCCAACGTCCTTGAAAATCGGTCAGCTCTCAGGAAATCTGATCCAATATCTAATGAGAACCACATCAGAGAATCGGACTGACTAAGATCATCCTTTGATCAACCGACTCCCAGAGATCGTCTGTCAAACCAGCAAACAGGGCCTTCAAGTTCCCGACTTCGCTGTACAGCGTGTTGAAGCTCGCATCGTGAATAACCTTGCTTGTGCTTGAAAGGTTTGAGACAGCCTCATGATCGAGGTGATAGCAGATATTCTCGACAAGCTCTGGGATCTCAAGACAGTGATGCATCGCGTTAAGACAGCAGAGGATCAAACAAGTCAACATGCGGCATTTCCTGCCTTTTCTCACGCTGCGGCTAGGGCCGACAAGAGCAACGGCGCCGCCCTAGTCCCGCCCTGTCACGTCGGCCTTGATATGGCCAATGTCGTCAAATCCGTCGGCCAGTCGAAGTCACTCGATCACTGGGTGGCTTGCTGAGCGATGTTGCTTCCCCGCACCATCCATGTGTTTTTTTTTCCTCTGAGCTTCGCCAAATGTGGATGCGGCCTAGTCATTGAAGAACACAAACGTGATCCGGACTTCCCCACCTCGTATGACAGGCCGTGTTGATGTTTTGTAAGCCCAGTTCGACGTAGACGACAGGCGGCCGTCTCGGTTTTAGGGCTATAAGATGGTGGGTGCGCTGTTTCCTACATTGTCTCCTATGGAGGTGCGGGGTGTTGTATGGACTACTAAGGTACTTTATTGATATGATTCACAATTGCCAGTTTCATTTAACAACTATAGTACCGAACGCTTGCGCTGAATACTCACCGACATGGCTGTTTGCAATCGTGTAGCCATCCAAACAATCGTCTACATCAGCATGAAAGGTTATGCAATTTAATGAGAACTACAGTGCGGAACCCAGCGAGATAACTATGTATCGATGTTCCTATGCAGCAACTACCGTAAATTTATAAACTGACAAGGTGTTGGTCCATTGATAACACGATTGGCACATCTGATAGACATATGTGCTCTTCACAGAACCTAGGCAATTAGAAAGTAAAACTATCAAGACGACTTTGTCAATAGGCCAATCTTGACACTTTTCCAGACCGACTGGCAAGTCCAAGGCGAAGCAGGAGTCGTGAACTTGACGAGTTGCGGAAACATGGCCTTTAGACATGCCCCGGCATACTCCGCATCATTGGCCTGCGAGCACCACAGACAGAGGTTTGTGACACGCGAGCCAGACCCCGCCTTCACCTTGATATCCCTCGGGGATGCGTTCTCAATTTGCCGAGCATCGACGATAAGCGCGACCGACACAAGGTCGGGGCAGTTTGATACCAGCGCAGCAAGACCGGCTAGAGTGACTACATCACCGTGTCTTTCGCCTGCCCACCAGTGTTGGATCTCATAACCACCGTGCTCTGCCGTTCTGTTGTCCCGATGTAGGGCGGGACTCCACGAGTATTGGAAGGTACGGAGCAATGGAAGGGCGGTAGAGAGCTCCTCCATGTGAGCGTCGCTCAGGAGCGGGGCAACGTCCGAGGAGATGATGAGCTTTTTCAGTTTAGTGAATGTGAGTAACCCTCGGATGTCAGCGAAGGATATGCCGTCCCTTGGTCCTCTTGGGGTTCCAAGGTGAGGCAGTCCAACGGAGAGCTGGATAGAGGTGACTTTTTCCGGGAGCAGCGCTTCGCTGAGGGTTTGGATCAATCCGGCCAACGAATACGGAGTATAAAACGTATCAATGGAGAAGTGCGAGGTCGAGCTCAGGGCGCAGGGATTTTCGACAACGTGGGAGACACATGCCACAGCAAGGTTGAGGGTGCGAAGAGAGGGTGCGCAAGCAAAGGCCGGGACCCATCCAACGCGGGAGCCCATGCAACTATCAAAAAAACGGATAGATTTGACGTTCTTCAGCTGGGAGAAAGCGACAGCGAGCTGCTCCGCCGTGGAGTCGTGACTGTAGCCGTCGAGGCATGACAAGTTGAGATCCAACAGCGAGTCGCATTGCTGACCCGCTAGTTGAACAGCGACGTGAGGTTGGGCTTCTTCTATATTCCTGAGCTGAAGGCTTTTCAGCGTAGAAACGAGGAAGAATTTGAGCGTATCCGTGGAAGACCAGCCCGGTACAATGGATTGCAGAGTATCACCTCCAACGCCTAAGAACGTCAAGCGTGGAAAGAGCTTAGATGGGGTAGAGTGTTAGGAACCGGAGGTTCGCGTCCACCGCGTCACGGTTAGTGCCACCGGCAGAAGCACTACCGAAGCGTCAGTATGGAATGCTGGTGAGATATACTCGAACCAGCGTTCCTCGTCTCTCTTCCCTCACTCGTTATGCACCACACCGAGTGAGGGTAAGCACGCTCTCGTCTACGATACATGACCACGACGCTTACATTGCTCTGTACCTAGTCTCACATATCATAGGTACAGAATACACTCGTTATGCACCACACCGAGTGAGGTCTCACATATCATAGGTTTTAACATAGAGTAAGCCAGAGTGGCTCTAAAAACATCGGCGTGCACAGTAGGAGTGAGAGTCTTTGCATGGCGACGATCTTCCGTAGTGAGATACAAGGTCTGAACGCGACGCGTGTGGCGGTGTAAGGTCTCCCAATCTTTGCGCGTGAAGGGCCGTGTAAGGGTCTATGTAGCGATATTTCTCGTTCAAACTATCGATGCAAAACGCGAGCTGCTCTACGCTCACCACGGTTCTTCCTTTGTCTGTCAAATCCCATAAATCGTCATCCAGCCCGCACAGCAGGTCCTGCAACCTCCAAATCTCGGTGTAAAGGGCATCCAACGCGGGTTCTTGCGTCACCTTACACAACCGTGCAAGCGCAGCCAGAGAAGGCTGATCTAGATGGGTTGCGATGGATGCGATGAGCTCTGGGATTCTGAGGCAGTCGTGCATTCTGTTGCTGACGTCGGGGAGTTAAGGTTCAAGCTAAGAGACAAGGAGCGCTGCACCCCCGCGTTTGACCCACGAGGTTGTGCTTGAGGCCTTGAGGCTCCATCGCCACCTTAGAAGCGCCCAATACGCGATGTATGTGAAGGCAAGTGCGAAGGAGGTCAGAATCTGAAGGCGAGAGTTAAATGGGAGGTAACTGCCACAGGTCACCCGTGAAATACTCTATCCGTAGAGTACGTACCCTCAGGTGGACTAAAAGCCTAGATGAACGAGATGAACGCGTTGATTCAAATTGACGCGTCCTGGACGCGTTTCTGCACACGGCAGGCCACGTGGCTAGATACCCCTTATGCGGTCGAGCTCGGGCCGACAAGAGAAATACCGGTCCCGCCCTGTCACGCCGCTCTCTGACCGACCGACCGACTCTCCGAATCATGATCCTCACTTCGTCCTGATTCCTCTTGGTGCCATGTCCCCCGCACGACCTTCTGAATTCTGGGCTTTGTTCTAAAGAGACCAAGGCTAAAGATAGCACACCTCGTTCGTGATACTCGGACTTGCTCGGGACAAACTTGCTGAGTTAATCGACCAGTTGATCACTACGCGGTGTTGTTTCCCCGCGTCAGCGCTACATTTCCCGTCGGTCCTCGCTAAATGCGGCAGCAAAGTCAGCAAGGAACGCAACCGTGAGCTGGACTTCCCCACTTGACGCGATAGGGCGTAAGGTTGTTTTGTATGGTTGGTTCGACGTAGGCGACGGGCGGCCGTCTGCGACCATCATGGTACTATAAGACGGTGGCCACGCGCGCGATCCACCCCTCATCTCCTCCCTTGACCGAGCATCGAGCACCAGGATGAAGACATCCATCTTCTTCAGTCTTTTGGCAGCTGCTCTCGTCAACGCATCTGCCCTCTCCTTCAGAGGCTTCCCTCAAAGGGTGAAGGAGAGCACCTCCGCTCCTTCAACTGGATGGGTCAAGCATTCAGCCGCACACCCGGAGACTATGCTTCAGCTCCAGATCTCGCTTACTCAGCCCCGCTTTGGCGAACTCGAGCAACACCTTCTAGAGATAAGCGACCCATCTCACGAGCGCTATGGTGTACATCTGTCGAAGGAGGAGGTGCACGAGCTCATGGCGCCTCACGTTGACACGCACGGGATTGTCGCTGAGTGGCTGGCTGTACATGGGGTCGATCAGGCGGAGGTCAAGCACTCTGCAGCGGGTGATTGGATGACGGTTCGCGTCCCTGTGCGCCTCGCAGAGTCCATGTTCGACACGGTAGTTGCTGTTTTGTCTGTTTGTGATCAACACGTTTGCTGATGATGTTTAGGACTTGCATCTCTACAAGCACGCTGAGTCTGGAGACAGTCTCATCCGCACGCTGGAATATAGTCTCCCGGAGATCCTTCACGACCACATCGACCTCGTCCATCCTCTCACCATGCATGCGCCCTCTCCGCGTACAGACATGAAGAAGCGCTCGGTCAACGCTGCCCACGAAAGACGTTCTCTGAACTTGATCAATTCACGAGCAAACAGCACCGGATCCATCGATCCCTCATGCGAATATCAGATCACCCCTAGCTGTCTTCGTCAGCTCTACAATATCGGCAACTACACGCCGTCGGCGTCAAACGGCAACGCCATCGCGGTCACGGGCTTCACTGATGAGTGGGCGAACCTCGTCGATTGGGACAATTTCCTGCAAGCGCAAGTACCGTCGGCTGTCGGCTCTAACTTTTCCGTCGTATCTATCACTGGTAAGCGACGTCTCTATCAAATTGCACAACCATCTCATTACCCAGTGCAGGCGGGACGAACAACCAGACAGATCCCGGTGCAGAGGCCAATCTGGACGTCCAGTACGCGTTTGGTCTTACACGTCCGATGCCTGCGACGTTCTACACCATCGGTGAGTTTCCAGGTGACCCTCCTAATGTCAACTGGACCTTCGGGACTGGAACGCTGGACGTACGTGTTGTCTGATACGCGCTTGCGAGCAAAAATCGTCTATATGAAACCATATATATAGTTCGTCGACTTTGTCCTGAACCAAACCAACCCGCCTCAAGTTATTTCGACGAGTTACGGAGAGAGCGAGCTTTCTAGTAAGTTGGTGGTTCTATTGCTGTCTTCAAGCTCACCCATCCCATTTCTCAGACTCGCTTACGCTTTCAAACAAGGTCTGTCAGAACTTCGCTGCGTTGGGTAAGCCTCCTTTGCTACACTAGCACTCCTGTCCTGGCTCTTACTATCGGCGAAAGGGGCACGTGGTGTCTCTGTCATATACTCGTCCGGTGATTACGGGGTCGGTTACAGCAACGGCACTGTCGTGCCCTTCGACCCTCAGTTCCCCGCTAGCTGCCCTTAGTAAGATTTCCCCCCATCCGCTTCGGTACTCTCAAACCTTTTATTATGTAGTGTCACGTCCGTCGGCATGACGTACCATATTCCTGAGGTTGCGGGGATCGACGGAGTCTACTCTAGTAGCGGAGGGTTCAGTAACATCGTAAGTGGAAATTCAGTCAATGGTGTCCTCTCGAAGTCGGGTATAACAGGTTCGTCTAGTATCCTCGTCCTGCGTACCAAAACCAAGCAGTTCAAGACTATCTCGCGTACCTCGGAGACGAGTATACTGGGCTGTACAACTCGTAAGACACTCTCTGTTGTTGTACGCCAGCCACTCACCGTCCCTGTTACACTAGGAGTGGACGCGTAAGGACTTTCGCTAAATATACTTTTTTACGTTGATGGTTCGTTGAATATCCAGGGGTACCCAGACGTTTCAGCCCAGGGCGTCAACTTCTTCATCGAGAACTATGGCCGCGCCCAGAACGACACCGGCACGTCGTGCGCCGCACCCACGTTCGCGGCTATCATCGCACTTCTCAATGACGCCCGAGCACAGGCAGGCAAGGGCCCGCTCGGGTTCCTGAACCCATGGCTGTACTCTACTGGCTTTGCCGGCTTGAACGATATCACGGAGGGGAGTAATCCTGGGTGTGGGACCAACGGGTTCAATGTACGTACCATATCACATAACGGAGTGCTTAAGGTCTCATGGTGTGTTTGATGGCGACAGGCTACGAAAGGATGGGACCCTGGTACGTTTCAGAATTCCATGATCGTCGAGCTGTAGTATTTTAACCATCACTGTAGTTACGGGTCTCGGAACACCCGACTTTGGTAAGCTCAAGCAACTCGCTCTGGCATGAGGACGCAGTTTGTGCCCGTCTCTGTATTTCTCTTCGGTTTGGGAAGTTGTATACACCACTTTACCGTGTAGGGACAGCGCGCGATTCTTCTTGTCAGCTCTTCATGTCTGCAATAAAACTCTGAACCCGGTGAACACGATCAGCGAGGCTGCCCACGAGACAACAATCCAGATCTGAAATGCCCCCGCCCGCTGTCCCCCCCAGAACGAAGGGCACACTTCATGGGTTCGCTCTGGTGGCCTCATGGACTCCATGGAAAAATCGATAAGCCTTTCTGAAGGACCGGCATCACAATTGTCGGAAAACCCTGAAACCCGTATGGACGCGTCACGACGCATAATTATGTTCCGCTACCCGTTTTGACGCGTCTGCAACTACAGCAAGGTATAGACGCCTTCTGAATGCCGTCCCAACCCCGTCCCAACGCCGTTGTGATGCGTCTACACCAGCGATGAACCAATCGGAATGCGTTCTTATGCCATGTTTACGCCATTTTGACAGTATTAAAATGCCGCTGTGACGAAGGAGTGGTCACTTCGACGCGTTGGCAACGGGCTTTCCGCATTTGCGTCAGAACGCCCCTTTCCGTTTTCCCGACACAGGAGTCAGTGATCTTGATCTAGGACAGCACATGCATTTCAAATGGCGAGCAGAGCCTGCTTCACGAGCGCCTAGAAACCCACGCCATGGATCAAGGACATTACTCGTGTATGGGAACTTCATGATGAAGCGCTCAACCACTGCGTGTATCGCCTCACATTTCTAATAGAACGTTTTAATATTACGTTCTACGGCGCAGAACGTTCTAAGTAATGCCCGCACGAGCGGTCAGTCTTCCAGGTCTCCTGAATCTCTTTCAGGAAGAAGGGGCGATGCTTTTGTTGACAGAGAAAAATAAGTGAAGCTGGTAGGAGATCATTCGGACTTTGACTCAGAGTTAGGGTTAGATTTTTCGTTGAGATTATGCTCCCTACGCTAACTCCTACAATATAATTGACTCTTTTGACACAACCGTTGAGAACATATGCTCAATGTAAATTTCGTTTCATAACCTTGTCGAGTTGAGTAAAAATATTTGAGAGTTATAGGTTACAAAGGGAACCGAAAAAATGTGGTTACAGCTGATAGGCTCTGATAGGGACGCCGCGTGCCTTAATGCTCTATTTGTCAAGCCCCATCGGCGCCAAAGGTTCGCATGAGGACGCTGCATGTTCGAAACCACCAATCAAATGGTGTGATCTAGTACTTGGAGCATAGCAGTTGGGCTATCGCACATGCTCAACGTGGGCAACTCCGGGACAATCTACTACAGATTGCCCCCAATGTTCACCGGCTGCGCGGCGTGCGCGCAGTCTCCAAGCATATATAGTCTCGCACTCACTTTCGCCCTTTGGTTATCCATCCATTCTCCCCCTTAACATGTATTGGATGTTTCTCATTTCTCTCGCTCAAACGTCACTTGCTCTACCGCTAATAGGGACAGATCCTACTCCATCCCCGGACACTACTACTAGCAGTGGAGTAGTGTCTCAGAATGGGCGAACCATCTGGACCATCTTGTCGACATGCATGTTTACTATATTCTCTTGCATTTACAAGGTTATGCATCCCAACGTACCCAGCCCTTACGACTCCCCCACACGCCTTATGATCAGGTCTGTGGGGTGTACGCTAATGACCCTTGTAGCTCCGGAGCTGTGCGTTCTCTGGGCCATTCGCCAGCTACTCAGCGCCTACCGCTTCACCACTCAAATGGATAAATTTCTTCACCCCAGAAGAGAGAGACTTGGAAGTGAGCCGTCCTCTTCCCATCTGTATGCGTTTTCGTCGATTTATGATAATGTCACATTTAGTATCGGAGAAGTTAAAGAGGAGATGGAACAAAGTTAAAACCCATTTTGACTTCAAGAAAACAGCGAGCGGGGATGAGGAAGAGACTCACGATCTCGTTCGGATAAGAGGTGAGTCGTCGTCATTCGTATGGTCAATGGTCTTGCCGAACTTCAATTTCTCCAAGTTTCGCATGCCGCAAGCTCAGATAGCTCCACAAGCGCGGACGATTCAACAAACACAGATGACCCGACAAGTAGACACGATTCCACGAACACAACCGATTCGACGAGCGACAATGATTGGACGCCTGGACTAAAAGAGGGTGGGGAAAACGTTTCCATTTTGATGTTCCGTACGAATCTGAATTTGAGACAGATGAATCATGGACTATTGCTCATAGCTTTTTCGCCTATATGGGTGGATTCATGATTTACTACGAGGGAGCTCCGTGGAGTACTATCACGCCCGAATATCTGTTGACGGAGCTCAAGGACGGTAACATTGACGTCGTCGCGCTCACCAAATGTGAAGTCAATGATTCAAGCAAAGGAACTATAGTCACAAAAGGGCTTGCAATATGGCAAGTCACTTGGTTCGCTGTTCAGCTCTTTGCACGGTGGCGCTATGGCCTCGACATAACACAAATATAGATTGCCACACTCGCGTTCTGTGTGCTATGCATCATGACATACCTTATATGGTTGTACAAACCACAAAGTGTCAACCATCCTCGTCGCATCAACTGGAAACCTGAAAGCAGTCCTCCTCGTTATCTGCATAAAGCCCGGTTCCTACCGTAGGTTCTCCCATCGTCTAAGCTTTGATGCAAGGTCTAATGACATTATTTGGGCAATGAAGGGTTGAACCACCTTTTTTCATCCCTACCATCGCTCAGCATATCGTCGCTATCGTTTATGGCGACATGGAGAACGAGCGGTTCAGAGTCGCAACATTTGGGGGAAGCGAAACTAGCTTGCCAGACGGAGCTGACACGGTTGGGTACGCGGTAGCGGTGCTATACGGTGCCATCCATCTCCTAGCATGGAACTTTCAATTTCCTTCATCTCACGAGCAGCTGGCATGGCGATGTGCAGCATTGGCCATCATCGGTGCCCCCTTCTGCTACATAGCGTCATTTATCACCTTTGGTGAAATACTTGACTACCTCAGATTCAGAAGGCCTGATGCTCCTGAAAGCTTCATATGCAGATACATCCGTTTTGCCGTTGAGATTATTTGGGGGTACTCTGTGGTGTGCCTTATGGTTGCCTATGTTTTAGCTAGAATCCTCCTGATAGGGGAAATGATCGCATCGCTACGTAGTATTCCTACCAGTGCTCTCAGTACCATATCATGGGTCGATGTACTTCCTCATCTTTAATTTTTTTTTTTGAAAAATGCTACACCAATTTTATTTAATGGCTGTAGCAGAATCGACCTACCTTACCTCAAGTTTCATCTCCTCGATCGATGAATTGGCATATGAGCGCTGAGAATATAGAACAATCAGGTCGTACAAGTCCTATACACGCTTTACGGCGCACAGTTACTGCGTGGCGAGTCTTCTCGGGTTCGAAAGTCTGGGAGGTAACAACCCAACACTAGTGTAATACAGAGCACCAGTTGCATTACCGTTGACCCAAAGTCTTGATGAATTGAGCAATCGAGGCCTTACTTAGCCTTACTCCCTAAATGGGTTGGCTTACCGCACGGTCGCCCTCGCTCAGTAACGACGCAAACTGATAAAATGGTACCTACCCAATGTGTGTTAGCTGTTGGCCAGCACCTGAATAACCCTTGGGAAGAAAGAGTACCAATTGTGTGGCCTGATGACTCAGGGCGCTTGTGCGCGGCTAGTTCTAGAGGTGAAGCAAACCTGAAAAACATATCTCAGGGCACGTGCTTATATTTTGATAACGAGTCACTTGTACTATAAGACGGGCTCGCCACCGGCTGCAGTTGTGAAAGATGAGAATGGGCATGAACCAGAAGGACATCACGGGAGATGAGGGCTCTGAGAGCCAACGCACTAAAAGCAAAGCTCGATACGCAGGAACAGCGGAGCACAGACACCGTGATGTGTCAGACAAGAAAGACCGTACTAATCGTGCATTTATCACTCGAGAACCAGCCATGAGGCCTGAGAATCAGTGTCTCTCCATGGCGCCAGACAACTCTTCCTTAGCGTGAAATGACATTTCTCGTGAATCTGTCTATGATTGGAAACCCTTATCAGACGTAATGAGGACGAGGATTAGATGCGTACAGAGGAAACGGAGCATTTCTAATTACGACGCCGCATACTAGGCCTTTTAGATCGCCACATTGCTCTCCACGCGACTACCGAAAGTGCGCTGAAGAAAGTGTAGGGAGGGAAGAGCCAACTGATGTACCACGACCAGCCTGCCGCTCGCTCGAGTTTGGTGAGGCAAGAAGAGAGCTGGGTGTTGAGGTCGGCGAGGGAGCCCGAGTTGTCGATGACGATGTCTGCGTATGCGACTTTATCGGATATGGGGAGCTGTGAGTGGAGTCGGGAGGAAGCGTCTTCGCGGGAGGACCTGTCTCGCTTCATGAGGCGCTGGAGCTGGAGTTCTGCAGAGCTGTAGAAGGAGGTTAGGACCCCGTCAGAGACATTCAAGACGTAGGATGGTCATAAGATGGAACGATGCTCACCAATAGACGACGACGACCCTACCCATCCACTTGTACATGCCTCCTTCGATGAGAAGTGGGACGTCGACGATGCAAATCCGATTACCGCGTATCCAGGACTTGAGCACGCTCCAGAGTATAGCGCGACTAACAGCAGGGTGCACGATGGCATTGAGCTGCTTGCGTTTGAAAGGGTCATTGAAGATGATCGCCCCTAACTTTTTGCGGTCGAGGGAGCCATCAGGTAGGAGAATGTCGCGTCCAAAGGTCGAGACGATCTGAGAGAGCCCACGTGTACCGGGTTGAACTACCTCGCGGGCGATAATGTCTGCGTCTATGACAGAGAGGCCACGCTCCTTGAAGAGGTTAGATACGGTGGACTTTCCGGTGGCGATACCGCCCGTGAGACCGACGACTGATAAGGAGGAAACATAAGAAGGGTTGTGACGAAAGACATGACGAGGATAGACTGACCGAGCATTGGGAAAGACAAAGGGAAAGGTGTTATGAGTTGTTTGTCCTGTGGCCAGACCTGTCAAACGCGGTGCGTAATGGCTGCATCCAATTGGCCTGTTCCTCTCATTCACTGTACAAGGCCACAGCATACATCCACTCTCTTTCCTCTCATCTTCCACCGTTGTCGCCACCATGACGGCAACGGACCAGAATGCTCTCGCATTGGCTCCAAGGGGCTCCTCGTCCCACCTCAACAGACCAGCGAGACAGGTCGTCCCTGCATTCCTCCAGAAGCTATACGAGTACGTGTCGATCGTGTCACTACTTTCCGTGGCGTCCACATGGCTCATTTGGCCATGTCAGAATGGTCAACGATCCGTCAGACCAGGATCTCATTCGGTGGTCAGATTCGGGGGACACATTCTTCGGTACGATCCCCGTTCGATCTTCCTTTCACCTCCCTTCCACCCTCTGCCGTTTTATCCCCATCTATATTTTCGTATTCCATGGCTGACCATGCTGTGGTGCTACCACAAATCATATCATAACAGTACTCGACCAAGAGCGCTTCGCGAGCGAGGTCCTCGGTCGCTGGTTCAAGCACAAGAACTTCTCGTCCTTCGTCCGCCAGCTTAACATGTACGGCTTCCACAAGATCCCCCACCTCCAGCAGGGCGTCCTCCGCTCCGACCAGGAAGCCGACTTTTGGAACTTTGAGCACCCAAACTTTATCCGTGGCCAGCCCGACCTCCTCTGCCTTATCCAGCGCAAGAAGCAGACTGCAGCCGGCGCCCCTCCCAACATAGGCGCTGGCGGTACACAGGATGACGGAACGCAACAGCAAGCCGCGATAGCCCCTGTGGGGAGCGCAGGTGCGGCTGGTAACGCCGCCGTTGGCGGGCTCAACGCGGGGCAGGTGCTCGACGTGAACCAGATTGTGAACGGCATCGCGGCTATCAAGCGGCACCAAGCCACCATCTCGACCGATCTCAACACGCTACGTACGTCGAACCAGGAGCTCTGGCGTGAGGCCATGGCTGCGAGAGAAAGGCACAAGAAGCACCAGGATACGATTAACAAGATTCTCAAGTTCCTCGCGAGTGTGTTCGGGCATGGCGCGGCGAGCCATCATAATCATGGCTCAGCGCCGCTGAGCAAGGGAGATAACAGGGACAGAGAGCCCAACGCGGGTGCGGTGGTGTCGAGGTCGAAGGCTGGGATGTTGATGATCGATGATGGACGCAAGAAGGCGGGACAGGACGAGGCAAATGGTGAGTCTGAGTGAGGATTTCGGGGACGTATCGGTGGGCGCTTACACAGACAAGGGTTCTTTTCGTCGCTCGCGACCCCAAATTCGCCGACGCATATACGACCATTTCAGCAAGACTCGTCGCGCTTTGTATCTATCGAGCCGTCCATCCCCGACACGCCCGTCACCGTCACCTCCGAGGCACCGGCGCCTATTAGTCCAACACGGGAAATCACCCCACGCCCCTCGACATACCAGACTTCTACGTCTTCCACAACATCCACCACAGCATCTACCACTCCATCCACCGCATCCTCCTCTAAAAACGCCGCTGCCGCTGCCGCACCCTCCCCGTCAACATCCTCACCATCCTACACCGCCCCATCCCAACCTCAGCCTGAGCCCCCTATGTGCCCCCAAAACTTCAACATGCAGGACCCGTCATATTTCCCACAATTTCCCATGCAAATGCCATTCCCAGTGGCAATGCCCGTGCAGAACCCCAACGACGCGGTGGTCAACTCGGCGCTCGCGCAGGTGCTGCAGAGTCCACAACAGATGCAGCGGTTGCTTGCCGCGTTGTCTGCGCAGCAGGTTCCGTCGTACCTCCCGTATCCCATGCCAGAAGAAGGGCAGGGTGCGGCGCCGGGAGCGGGTAATGGCGCAGCTGGCGAAGGTGGAGGTGAGGAAGGACAGTTGATGCACTACGATCCCTCGCGCGGCTTCGTGCCCGGGGACTTCTTTGCGAACTTGAACCTGCCTGTGGGTGTGGATCCCAGCGCTGGAGCTGTCGCTCCGACGGGTTCCTCTGGCGCACCTAATACTGGAAGCGGGGAAGGGCACGAGCTCGCGAGCTACGCACCGCTGCAGGCGCAGGACGAGCGGCTGCAGAGGACGTACCAGAGCGCGAGCGAGATCGACAGCGATGTGAACGCGCTGCATACGAGCCTCAATTCGCTGATTGAGAGTCTAGGGCTCGATCCGGAGGCGCTCGCGGCTGCTCAGCAGCAGAGTGTAGCTGGGGCCAACGCCTCGGCTGCGAGGGGCCCAGGCGAGAGCGGCGACGGCGCGGTAGGACACGGACACGGACACGGACACGGACAGGATGGAAGCAGCGCGCAGGACGGCGCGCCCCCGTCCGAAGCCGACTTTGACTTTGACGCGTTCCTCAACGCCTCGCTCGCCGAGCACTCGGGGATGGGCTTCGGCCCCGGCCCCGGCGCGGGCGGCGCCGGTGGCGGGATGGGCGTCGGGTACGACGCGGACGATCTCGATATGGACGGCGCAGACGCGGACATGGCGTCCGGCGCGGACTCGCTCGATGCGATTGCGGACAGACTTGATCGCGAGCCGGGGCGGGGGAGAGGGATGGTTGCGGATGCGAAGGACCGGTTTCAGCAGACGGGGCAGCGGAGGCGGGGGCATGAGAGGTTTGGGTCCGGGGGTGAGAGCGCCGATTTTGGCGTCGGTGGGGGCGGGACACATGCGTTTTTGGATGAGGTGGCGAGTAGTACGGATGGGGATGGGGCGAGTGATGTGAGTATGGGCGGGGTGTCGGGTGGGCTTGGGTTGGCGCCGCCTTCGAAGGTTGGGGGTGGACCTGGTGTCACGCTAGGCGCTGGTGCGGGCGCGGCGACGAGGGGGAGGAAACGCAAGTCGGAGGCTGGGAGTTTGGAGAGAGCGCCGCAGCTATTGGTGGAAGATGGGAGTGGTGGAGCAGGGGGGCGGATGAAGAGGAAGCGGTGAGGGACGTCTAGAGCGGAAAGTAGAAAGGAAGAAGGCGCTCAAGGCAAGGGAACGAGGTGCTTATATGTACGACTACCAAGCGCCGACGACGTTGAAGGACGGGCGGGTGCGTTGCTATTTTTAATGCTTACTGTATCGTTTTGATAGTCTGTCTTTTCTTGCTACCTTGTTAGTTTTCTGTGTTATCGTACGTAAAGGGTTCATTGTGTATTTTTGCTGCTTGCTATTCAACAAACCTCCCACCTACAAGCTCCTGTTTTTGCTGTGCAATCATCCCCTCAATCCAATCTTAGAAGTCTCAGTGTCAATTCTACTCAAATTCTACTCGCACATCTTAACGCTCGTGAGATGGGTCGCTTATCTCCAGAAGGTGCTGCTCGAGTTCGCCGAAACGAGGTTGTGCGAGCGAGACCTGGAGCTGCAGCATAGTCTCCGGGTGTGCTGCCGAGTACTTGACCCATGCTGTTGAAGGAGCGGAGATGGTCTCCTTGACCCTGTGAGGGAAACCTCTGAAGGTTATGGCAGAGGCGTCGACGAGAGCGGCTGCCAAAAGACCGAAAAAAATGGATGTCTTCATCTTGATGCCGAAGCCGAGGTTGGAGGAGACAACGAGGCCATACACTGCACAACCATCGTCTTATACTGTAGCTCTGGAGAGGTAGACGGCCGTCCGTCGCCTACGTCGGGCTAGACTTACTAAACAATCCCGCGACCTGTCAAAGAATGTGGAGAAGGCCCGCGAATTTGCGCCCGAATTTGGCGGAGATCGAAGGCAAATGCATAGAATACGAGGAAGTAACACTGCAGACAAACGGCGATTTTACCCCGTATGAAACCGAGAGAAAGAGGCGGCGAGATGAAAGCCTTTTCCTCCAAGTTTTGGAACCCCCTTTTGCACAGGAAAAGATACTCTTTTAGCCGACATTTGCGTCAATTTTGCGCTGGTAAATTTGGCGGGTTACCAAATTGGACACCACCTTCCTGATTTGGACGTGTTTCTATCTAATCTCCGCACAGAAATGCAAGCTCCGAGGCAAAAGTTTAACTTTTCAATAGCTTTTCGCGCAGCAAAAGATGGGCGAAAAAGGCTTTCATCTGTCCGCGTTCTTCAATCACTTTTCGTAACAGAAAAATCACAGTTTGTCTGCAGTGTAACACCGGCTGGTGATCGCCTAATAGAATAATCCGTGAAGTTTGGCCCGGCCAGGCCTAGGTTATAACCAACCCTCGCGTTGACCTTTCCATTCAACGCTTCCAATCGACGCTGTAGTACGTTTCACTACATGCATCTGAAATGTGCATGCTCTACTCAAGGGTGATAATATAGTGCGGTTTGGTTGTTTCCTCCCTTTTCGCCTTCAGACGTTAGACACACAGTACACTGCAGACAAACTGCCATCTTTCTGTTACGAAAAGTGAGTGAAGAAGGCGGACAGATGAAAGCCTTTTTCACCCATCTTTTGCTGTGCGAAAAGTTACTGAAAAGATGAACTTTTGCCTCGGAGTTTGCATTTCTGTGCGGAGATTAGATAGAAACACGTCCAAATCAGGAAGGTGGTGTCCAATTTGGTAACCCGCCAAATTTACCAGCGCAAAATTGACGCAAATGTCGGCTAAAAGAATACCTTTTCCTGTGCAAAAGGGGGTTCCAAAACTCGGAGGGAAAGGCTTTCATCTCGCCGCCTCTTTCTCTCGGTTCCATCCTGAGTAAAATCGCTGTCTGTCTGCAGTGGGGTAGCCTCCCCCCCACATGGGTCCACTGCAGACAAACGGCGATTTTATCCGGGGTGAAACCGAGAGAAAGAGGCGGCGAGATGAAAGCCTTTTCCTCCGAGTTTTGGAACCCCCTTTTGCAAAGGAAAAGGAGGGAAAAGGTATCCTTTTAGCCGACATTTGCATCAATTCTGCGCTAGTAAAATGGACGGGTTACCGAATTTGGACTTTACCTTCCCGATTTGGACGTGTTTCTATCTAATCTCCGCACAGAAATGCAAACTCCGAGGCAAAAGTTTAACTTTTCAGTAACTTTTTGCACAGCAAAAGATGGGTGAAAAAGGCTTTCATCTGTCCGCCTTCTTCAACCACTTTTCCCAACAGAAAAATCGCAGAATGTCTGCAGTGGTCGCTTATTGGGCGCTTTTTAAAAGGTGGCGGCGGAGCCCCAATCATGCACGTCGCAACTTCAACGCGGAGTTGCAACGTTCTTGTTTCTGATCCTCGTCGCCCGTCGGCGTCCGGCCAAGAATGCATCACTGCTTTAAGATCCCAGAGCTTACCGGATTAATTGCAGCCCATCTAGATCAATCATCTCTGGCTGCACTAGCGAGATCGTGTAGACTTACGCAGGAGTCAGCTCTGGATGCCCTCTAGGCTCGGACCAGCCGTTCCTGCCGAAGCTACGCAATGTCAAATCTGGCACTTCAGTCCCCCCCTTTTACAAATCTTTAAGGCTTTTTATACTTGAAAATTAATATGTCTTAGAGGCCCACTCCGATGGTACACCGGGCACTCTATGGTAGATGATGTCCTTAGTGGTGGTGAATACCACAAAATGTGAGTCTCATAGTGGCTTCCTACCATGGGTTTGGTGAGATTTGTAAAAGGGGGGGACTGAAGTGCCATCGCTTGGGCCCCTGGGAGTAGATTCGTGTTCGCCAACAGTGTCGGAAAAAACCAAATGGGGTTTGAAATGGTTTCCTATTTAGATAGACTTAGGTTGAGAGAATCACACAGCGGATGAGAGCAGTGCGAGCTGAGTTTTCCTCGCTCGAGTTCGTCTATTATTTATACTACTAGTTTGTAGGGGCTATAGGCCTCCTCTACTTTAGATTACTCATACGAATTCTATGGGCACGGCTTGCCATCGGTTTCAAGTGTAGCTCCGTCCGACTACTAAATTCATTACAACAGGAGTAACCTCAGTCAGCGCGCTGCGGAGAGCACGTGACTTTACTCATGACGCCGAGACTGACGTCGTGTCATTCTCGTCTCGCTTTATTCAACACTCCCCTCAAACCGTGCTCATGCCCAGGCCAGCCACGTGCGTCTGGTGCCTGTCTCTGGCAAGCGGCTTCGTGAGGATGTCTGCAGTCATTTTTGCAGTATTACAGTACTTAGTTGTTATTT